GCTTATGAATCCTCTGCAGATTGTTATTAGTTACTTGACATTAGATCTGCAGCTTTAATTGATAATTAATTCAGGATCAGGCAACAACTAATAACAGCTGTTTGTTTTATGGTAAAAATGTAGAATGGATGTCAATCAGCTCCATCTTCTCCAGGTCAGTGCGTATTTGCTGGTCAGTGGTTTCAACATCGGTCACCATCATCAGCTGATTAACATCAAGCAGAACATTTATTGATTAAGGCAGATTAATGACAATAATAAGCACAATTCCTGCTTTAACACTGACTAAACATCAGCAGATCTTTTGCTGTTTATTATCGTCATTATGTATTTAGAGTTATCAGTAATTCAGAGTTATCATGATGCTAATCGTGCTAATGGGTTTCTTCTACTCACCTGTTAGATCCTCCAGCATCGTCCAACAGTTCTTCCATCAGCTTTCTAATGTCTTCTTCCTCAAGTCTTTAAAACTAGCTACTTTCAATTAAAGCTCTTTGCTTTAGATGATCATCTGAAAGTAGCATTTGCTGCTAATATTGACCCAATACCAAAATCTGTTATCAGATCAGTGCCATCTCTAGGCTTTGCTGTTCATTTCCTTAACTCACTGGTAAAGGCTGGTCACTCTCTGATTGAAGATCCTCCAGCAGGATCTCCAAAACCTCGCTGATGACTTCAATCTTGCATTCATTGTTGCTGACTAGTTTATTTTGAATAAATCTATTAAGATATTAATGGTAATATTCAATAGAATTCTTGCTTTTATATCATCACCATCATCATCATCTCACACTCTGCTTTCACATGAATAAATATGGTTAGTTTTCTAGCTGTGTCATTTTCGTTCTTGGTATATTGGCACTAAGCATTTCCTTTGCTTACCGAGAGATTGGTCATCATATGTCTCAGTCTGGTCCAGGTGAATGGACATCAGCTTTTTAAGAGGGTCAGACTGTCATTCTGCATCTATCACATCTATCACCACCTGTCCTGATGCAGATGTTGAACTGATCAGCAGATGTTCAGCCATATTATTGTCTTCATAATGTGTTTTTCATTTTTTCCTTTACTTATGCAGATGTTTCTCCACTGTTTCCTCCACAGTGTCCTCCAGGGAAATGTTCATGAGCTCGTTAACGGCTTCAGCTTCAGCTTCCTGAGCCATCATCATTTTCATCTCATTCTCTGCTTTCATACAAATAAATACAGTCAGTTTGCTAGCTTCTGTTGTTTTTATAGTATTTGTTTATTTTCGTCACTCACCCAGAAGCTGCACACTGGATACCTGAAGGTCCTCCAGCAGGATCGCCAGGAGCTCACGGATGATTCTAGTCTTGTCTTCAGTGTCACTCATGATCAGCAGCTGCTCTCCTGCTCTAACATTAAAATTAGCATTAATAATATGAGCATTTACCCTCTTAACTCATTATCATGATGCTAATCATGCTAATGGTTTTTTACACAGCAGTGTGTAGACCACCTCAGCTTTGACCTCAGGCACTTCCATCATTTCGGCCTCTTTTCTTACGAAAGTTACATTTGAGTAACATTTTCCATTAAAACTGATTATATTGAATGTATTAATTAAAAAAGATTAGAACTCACATTAAGTTGAATTCCTGCTTTTACATGAACTTAATGTCAGCAGTTTCTCCAGCTATGTTATTATCATGCCGTCTGTTTATTTGCTTTACTTACTCAGAGGTTTATCCAGTGTCCTGCTCAGTCTCCTTCAGCTGAATGCTCATGAGGTCTCGAATGGCTTCGGCCTCAGCTTCATCATCGTCTTCATCATTCTCATTCTCTGCTTTCACGTCAGTAAACACTGTTAGTTCTCCAGCGCTTTTCATTCTTGATATCTCCACTATTTATTTCCATTACTTACCAAGAGATCGGTCATCGTATGTCTTGGTCTCGTCCAGGTCGATGTGCATTAGCTGATCTATAGCTTCTGTCTGACCTTCATCATCCATCATCTTCATCAGCTGATTTCCATCTTTAAAAATTACACTTTTAAAACATTATAATAAACATGACTTCTTAATATTAATTAAGAAGAGAATTAATGTGTAGGTTATGAAGAGATGATGCCTTTCTTCATCTCAGTTAGGGATGATACTACACATTACTTATTTAAAATATATTGTCATATCAAGTGGTGAACCATGTGAACAGCTTCACATGAGAAATAAGAACAGCTATTGTTTAATAAACCTTCATGAATAGCTACAATAAAAAGTATTTTGTTAAATCTGGTATATATTTCTAATTCTAAGGTTCAGTCTGGATCTTGTTTAGGTGAATGTGCATCACCTTCAGCATCTCATTTTCCAATTTAATATTTAGAAATATCAACAGCTGTCCAGCTGTGTCATTATCATAGTATCTGAAATTATCATTTCTTTTGCTCATCCAGAGGGACTTCCTCCAGTAGGATCTCCAGGAGCTCACTGATGCTTTCAGTTTTTGCTTCAGTCTTGCTCAGTAGATTATTCTGAACAATGTCAAACAGAATACATCTCATATTAATCTGAATTCCTGCTTTTGCATGACGTAAATGTATTATCATCATGACATCTCTTCACTGTATTTACATACCCAGAGGTTTTTCCAGAGATTCCTCCCCAGTGTTCTCCAAAGAGATGTTCATGAGCTCATTGATGGTTTCAGCTTCAGCTTCAGTCATCTTTGTAATCATCATCTCATTTTCTGCTTTAACACAAATAAATACTGTCAGTTTTCCAGCTCTTTCATTTTTGTTGGATTTTTTTTTTTTATTTCCTTTATTCACACAGAGGCTGGATTCCTCCAGTAGGTGATGACTTCTGATGACAGTCTTGTCATCAGAGTTGCTCACTAGATTATCTTGAATGAATTCAAACAGATTAGAGCTCATATTAACCTGATGTCCTGCTTTTTATTAACAAACTGTCATCATGCAATTAGTTCCTCAACTTTACTTTCCCAGAGGTTTGTCCAGAGCTCCTTCCTCAGTCTAGGTTGATGTCCTCGGCTTCATCAACCACCATTATCTTCATCTCATTTTCTGCCTTTATAAAAAACATATGGGCAGTTTACCAGCTCTTTCATTTTTGTTGTCAACTTTTTTTTTACTTTACTCACCCAGAGGCTGAAAACTCGCTGAAAGATCTTACACTAGCAGGATCTCCAGGAGCTCATTGATGATTCCAGTCTTGTTCTCAGTGTTGGTCTCTAGATTATTTTGAATTAAGTAAAAGATAGGAAATCATTTTAAGCTCAAATTCTTGCTTGTATATTAACTAAATGTGTTGTGATCATTATGGCATCTTACCCAGAGGTTTCTCCAGAGTTTCCTCTATAGTCTCACCTAGGTTGATATGCTTTGATGACTTCAGCCTTGGCTTCATCAGCCACCATCATCATGTTCATCTTGGTCTCTGCTTCAACATGAATATATACAGTCAGTTTTCCTGCTGTGTCATTTTTATATCTATTATATATCTACACATTATTTTTTCTTTCCTCAGCCTCAAGGTACAATGCCCTGCATGTACCTTTCTGCCATGAACAAGTTTAAGAAATATGTTTTGATAATTTCTCAAAACTATGGTAAAACAATGTCTCAGGCATCAAGCAGTGTATTCATAAACATTTTATGTACTAGCTTTCTGTGAGGCAGCACTCAAAGGCATTAAACTTCCTCAGTTGACTAAAGTCCTCCAAACCAGTCTGCGCTATACAAATATAGGCCTGTTTTGTGAATCGATTCAGAATCTTTAAAGTGATGATCACCTCTAGGAGGGTGGCTGGGAAATTGTGCACGACAGCAGCTGGACTGCAGCAACTGACACTGTGATGTGGGCAGAATTGAGTGGAAGCACAAGGTACATGTTGGTAACAAAGTTGAAGGTGACTGTGCATCCAGCATTAGTTTGGTCAGTGCAGGGTCAGGCAGTGACCAGATGGGGGCGCTCTTATGGTGCTTTAGAACAGAACAAAGTTTGAATCCCACAGTGGATACGCCAACTAGAATTGATAAAACCATAAAAATGGCCAACACTGATTACTGAAAGACTCATTAAATTTACATACTGAGAGTTTTAGTTATCCATCATACAGGACCAAAAAATGGCTTTAATGTTAAGGAAAATGAGTAGAACAACCTTTGTGGTTTCTTTTGTTTTTTAAAAAAATAATAAATAAATCAGTGTCTGTTATAATGTGAGGAAACTGGCGTAAAATAATCGAATAATTTTGTATTGGCGGTAACACTATAGGTAGGATATTCTGAATCAGAAAGCCACAGCACTGAAATCTATAGGTAGATGTTTTGATACCCCAAATCACCTTATCAGGGGGTAAGTAGTTATATTAAGCTGAGACTGTGATAAATTTACAATAAAAACATAATAAAACGCTTAAAAAAACAAACTACACATTTAAAAAAAGAATGGGTTTTAATGGGTTCTTTATTCATGGCAATTGTTCTATTTAGAACTATAAGCTCTATTTAGAACCATTTCATGTTTAATTGGTTCTTTGCATGGTTATGGTTATTCAGATTGATGGAGAATTTGTTGTTCTATATAGAACCTTTTTGAAATTGGTTCTATATAGCACCAAAAAAGGTTCTTCTGTTACAACGTCAAGCTTAAAATAATAGAAGAACCATTTTTGGTGCTACATAGAACCATACACGACACATTCTCCATCAGAACCATTTCACCACGCAAAGAACATATTAAGCACCTTTTTACGCCTGTACGCTACACGAATGATCTGCGCATTCTCAGTAGGGCAAAGTGTTAGAACAACTGCTCCGCTCAAGAACCTCCTCACAACTTATCTGCTCTAAAACATGTCGGGTTAGAAAATGAATGAAGAGGACCTGAAGTCTCTCAGCTGACGTGAAGGGAGAGTGAATCGCCCTCAGACCCTCCCTTCAGCTTTAGCATCACACCCCCTGAACTCACTCAGAGCAGCGCTTAAAGAGACACGAGTCAACTCAGAGGAGAAGCTCAGTTCACTTCAGTTTTGCTTACAAAAACAAAAAAAAACTCACTGTCTTTTGTCACTTTTCGGCCACACAGTTCATTCTAAGAGAGAGAGAGTCATCTGGGTAAAGTTGGCGCCTCCATTAAGATGACTGGTGCAGTTTTTACCCGCCAGAGTTTTTTGGGTGAAAACCGCCAGCGCTCCCTCTGGACATGAACGCGTACTGGAGTCAACTTATAGACTTCGTGTCTCTTTTTTTAAAGGATGTTAGCCGCTAAAGGACGCTGGTCAGTCTGACAGGGCCGCTCTGTTTAGTCTGTCTGGCTCTAGAGGAGCTTTAGTGGAGCTATGATATCGAGTGAGCGGATTTTAATGCCTCAGAGGAGCCTCCCTCCTCCGTCACCTGTGGACATCTCTCTCACCTCAGCAGCCAAGAGGCCATCCTCAAAGGCCACGAGGAAGCAGAGCAATGGATCGGTCCAGTAAGTGGTTTATTCTGCTTCAGTGAAGACTGAGAGCACTGAAAAAATGACTTTATTAGATACAAATGATACAAATCTGTGCCCACATTAATAAAACAGGCTATATTACACAAGATTGTGGTGATGTACTTTATGTAGATCTTATGTAGGAATTTATGTAGAAATCAAGTAAATCCAATGTGTCACTGCGCTGTAGTCCAGGTAAATCTCTCTCTCTCTTTCTCTCTCTCTCTCTCTCTCTCTCTCTCTCTCTCTGTATATAATAAGGGTACGATTATGTCAGATAAGTGTTACATTTGTAAACGTTCTTAAAGGTAAACTCCACAGATTATTCTACATTTCTGCATGATTTAATAATTGAGATGTAAACAAAGTCATTCGGAGTGGCTTGATGTGAAATCATTCATTGTAGAGAATGTGATGCTGATGATGGTAAAATAGCGATACATTTGAAAAAATACGTTTTCTTTGGTTACTGTTTTGCCTTACAGTGCTGTGCATGTACCTCTCCACCATATATGTATTTCAAAAAATAAGTTTTATGACTAAAACCTGATCTCAGAACGATCTTAAAACAATGTCTCTGCCATCAGGCAGTGCATTCATATGGATTCCATGTAATAACTTTCTGTAAGGGAGCTTTTAGAGGAATTAAACTCTTCAGATGTCTGGTTCCTATCGTCATCACTGTGAACAGTTCTGACTCAGTAAGTAGAATCAAACCACTCTGAATGACTTTGTTTACTTCACAGCAATTATTATTATTTTTTTAAATGGTGGGTTTCCCCTTTAATTTAAAGTGCTGTACCCTATGTAGTGGCAGTTGAGGTGTTCTTCAATAGGCTTGGGTTTTACATATAAGCCTTTCTGAAACAGTTAAGGGTTTAATATTTCACTTCCTTGCTGGAAGAAAGTGACATTTTGCAGTGTGTGATTTGTATATGGTGTTGATGCAGTCCTTAAGGCCCTCAGAGACCCTCATGCTTCTCAACTAAGCAGATTACAGGATCAGTCATAATCTACAGACTGTTCTTTGATTTGTTCAGGGGTAGAGCGGTGCAAGGTACAGAGTTCCAGCCTCAACTACCAACATAAGCTAGACTCTTTCTGTTCAGCAGGAGTGGAAGTCCCATTGTGGATCAACAGAGAGGATGATGTGGTTCTGAGATGCCACAAGCAGATGTGGTTCTGTACTTTTGTGCTGCCAGCATTATTCCGTCACTCTTGCCCTCTTTTGCCCAGGTCCAGCTCGTCCAGTGGCACAGCCAGGTCGACGGAGAGTGTGGGTATCAGACAGCCGGCCAAGAGCAAGATCCGCCGCCACCAGCACCGCCTGTCCTCTGTGTTCAGCCGCAGCATGCTCAGGGCCCGTGGAGAGATGGCCTCAGCGGGAGAAGAGCCGGCGGTGACAGACGACCCCTCTGAACTGTCCAATCACATCACAGCTCCTGGCATTCTGAAGATATTCGGCAACGAGATCTGTGAAGGTGCCAACTATAAAAGTGTCCTGGCCACGACCCACTCCAGCGCCAAAGAGCTGGTCAAAGAGGCGTTAGAGAGGTGAGGGCAGTCTTACGTTGGACTCGTGATGCGTTCCTGTAGTTTGAATGTTTTGGTGTGAGCTCTATGGTGCTACAATTCACCTCCTTTAGAATGTATTTTTATTGGTCATCCAGATTTTGAAGTAGAATTGTGCATTTTGATTAATTTTGATATTGGAGTGTAAGAGTTAATAAACAGTCATCGAGTTAACAACAGGGAAAAAGCAACAACAAAAAGAAGAAAAAAATACCATAGATGGGTGTTGGAAGTTACCTCTTCAGAGGAGCTAATGAGGCAACACTAATCACTACAGTTCTGTATGCTGAGGAGGATCCGTCGCCTACTATGCCAGGTCTGTGGGTGAATTTCCAACATGTTAGGCAGAGAAAATATAGTTCCACTCTTTCTGGACCTAACTAACGTCAGCTGGACTGCTTAGTCTAGTTAGCGAAAAAGCTGCGCCAGAGTCAGCCGAGCACTCTCTGCCTTACCAGTCACATCTTTAACAATATGTCCTTGGCAGCGTGTTCACGTTCAGGCACTTATGTTTTAAAGTAGCAAAGCATAACATACTTGCAAAACTGTGACGTTTTGCTATAAGCCTGTTTATTTTCTCTGTTGTCCTGTGATGAAATGAAACAATTACCCAAATCCACTTTATTTTTCATGTGACCACTGTATTTCAAGATTATGCCTGAAATGTCTAGTTGGGGAACAGAAGTGTTCTGCATTACTGTTTGAGCTAAGTCAAGTAATGTCTGCTTACTTAAGTTTAATTTTATATTCCATTAAATGTCTCTGAGGCATTTTGGGACAGTGTGCAGTTTGCGGCTGTCACTACAACCCAGTGACACTGAAAATATGTCAAAAAAAACAGCAACGTTACAAGTTTAAAGCTCTCAAGAAAGAGCAGAGCTTTAAATTTATTTGAATATTGCTGTTTGAATGTTGCTTTATAATCACTGCTTGAAAAAGCCCAGTTGTAAATTCTATTTAAAGATGCACAGCTTTAACCATTGCTCTTTACCGAAAGGAAGATAGGCTACAGAATCCTCTAAAACATTTCTCTTACACAGGTTCAGGTATCTGTTGACAGATCGATTACAAACATTGACTCACAAGCACTCAAGCAAGCTAATAATAAACATAGTTTACATTTTTATTCATATATTCATATGTTTCTGTCATGTGGGGATATTTTAAGCATTTAGCATGTCTGATTACACTTTGCTGGAAGTTAAAGAGGCACTCAAAACATCAGGTTGGCACAGGAATAAGGTGCATATAAGGTGCATAGTGATTTCAGTATTCGAAAACTGGCCCCTTAAGTGATCATTTAGGAAGAAGTCAAATGTACACAGCTTTTCCTTTACCCTAAATGCAGTTGATCAGCCAACACCTGTTTGATGTCTGAAGTTCAGTTTAAGTTTTTATATTGTGTATGTTCTTTAGTTTTCTCTTGAGCTACAAGGCTAATCTAGCTAACAAGTAATTGATTGCCACTTTGGTTTCTGACACTGAATGACATTCTGTTTGCTGTAAAAATGGACAAAGTACATATAAAATGCATTGGAGTGCATTAGCCCTGTAACTCCAGTGTATCTGTAAAGAAGCGAGGTGGAGGTGGAGTTTATGTCTTTGATGGCTGACCACATTTTGTGGTGAGAGAAAAATGGTGTAAATATGAGTATTTGCTGAATCATCACTTTAAAGTGTCCATTTTATGGAAAACTGAACATTCAACACTACATAAAAGATGTAGTGCGTAAACATTTTCAAAGTTTCAAAACAAACTGTTCACTCCTTAAGTTCATGTGATCTATATATGGAACCTAAGGTACAAAAATGGTGTGTTTTGATTTAATTGTTTTTGGGATGTCAGAAGTATCACATTTACATATATCCGCTTATTCATCCTACAGCAGTTTAGCCCCGCCCAGCAGCATAAAGTTATAAATATATGTACCAGCTTTTTGAAGTCACAATAGTTGGCATCCAGAGTCATTTACATGTGTGACTCTTTAAATCAGGGGGAGAAAAACATTAAAATGTGTTTCTTAGTGCTTCTTAGCTTTGACAACCTGAAGGTGCTTTGCCTTTGCTATTTTAAAAGATTAGAGCTAGATGGGGTGTCCGCGTCAATTCATTTTCAATTTCTCTTTATGATGTTTCATAAAGGTCGCAAATTACTTTGCTGCTGAAATGTATGTGGGAGGGAACATTGTAGCAGAGTGCTGCTATAGAGCACCGGCAGGGAGACCTGATAAAAGCTAGGTTCAAGTTCATTTTTGTGCTCTACTCGTAGAAATTAAATGAAATAAAGCTTTCAAAATCACTTGTCACGCTTGCCATCTGTTTACTACCTCTTCACAAACTCGCTGTTTTTGAGCTGAAAGATACGAGCTGAAAAAGGCTAGGCTAGTACGTTAGCTGAGGTAACTTACCATTAGCTGCTTACCTAAAAGACTGGCTGCACGTTGATGTGATTGCTGGCACTGGTATGCGTCCCTTCATTAAAAACAAAGTGTTCGACATGGTGCATCTGGTGTGCAGTGGGCTTAACGTCTCGCTCATGCTCGCCATCCTGGCGCTGGAGCTAAGGCATTATTTGATTTTATTTCCTCTTTTCTCCAGCTCGTATGTGTGTACAGAGCACTGATAGGCTCCAGAGAAATTCTGATAGGCTGGTGGATGTTCTGCAGGCCTGAATGTACAACATGTGGTAGTCTGCATAACAGTAAGCAATTTTGGAAATTATAGGAAAGTGACAGGCATTTCGTAATTCCACAGTTCACCAGTGCGTATTGAACCGTAGGCTGCGTACCGAATGGTTCGAGAACGTACCTTGTGCCATTGCATCCCTAAAAGGCACAGTGGCAAAAACAGCCTCCTTAACTCTAAAATATAAACAGAGGCTGAGAGTCGTCAATTAGGACTGTTTTTGAAAAATAAAGCCACATAAAATTGTAAAGAAATAAAACAAATACAAGAAAACATAGGATATAGGCCCCCTAGTATCAAGAAAAATATTCATTTTATCTAACCTATGACATTGTATGTTTTCCACCTTTTGAAAATGTTGCTAATTGTTTTAGAAACTACAACATTGAGTTATTCAGGCAACAACTTGTGCTTGGCAGGACCATCATGTCAGAAACTCGCCCTGCACTAGATAAAAAAAACATCTGTAAATTCCTACCTCTTATTACATCATTCACCAGCACATTGCTGTAAAACCTAAAACTCTTTGTCTTCCCATTCATTATAGGGCAGAACAGGATCTGAACAATTACATTAACCTGATAAAATGCAGGCTTATATGTTTATTCATCTTACTACTCAGAATATTTATTCACCTCAGTGCCTATTATCCAGTAACTACTTTGAATTGTTCAGTAATAACAATGTAACTAATATATGGTGTGTGTTTTTATGAGCATGAGGAATGGAATTCAAGTTTAAACCACAGTTGCAATACCAGAAGCTGAGCGCATAAGAGTTGTCCTCAAACATCCCCAACTCAGTCTCTACATTTTCTCTGCAGCAGCGTGAAACTCAGAATCTGTACTTGTGTTATTGGTTTTAGAAGGAAAGAAATAGAAGTACATTATGAAAAGAGAAGCATGATTAGATTACTGTAAGTAGAGTGAGACTTACAGCACTGCACAATTCATATGTGTTTGAAATGAATGAGCATTACTGAGGATTTCTACATAAATACTGCTAAAAGCATGAAACAGTCATTGTGCACATGAGCAGACGTCTGTTAAAGTTACGGCGATGGTCTCATTTGCCTTGGAGATGTGGGAAATTCTAGCTGAAGCGAATTCCTCGGTGAGTGCAGACCACTAAGATGCTGACTCTATTCTTTTAGAAACTGGATTTCTTTCAGTTTTGGCATTTTCCACAACCAGACATACTTGGAGTGTGTGTAACTGAGTGTGTTTGTGTGGGTGTCTGTTTTTTTTAACTTTCTGTTACTTTTTAAAACTTTTTCTTAACTGCATATGAACACAGTTATCTGACAGAAGCACGTGTGACCCTTTTAAAGGAGTAAACGTTAACCTCTTAAAACTTATTATTCAGTCATTAATCTTAAAACTGATTATACCGTAAATATAATAACAATAAGAAATAAGAAACAACATGAAACTAATAAATGTAAGTCGTGCAGTTATGAGAGTGAGGAACTTTAGTGTGGATCCACAAACAGGCCCTCAGGCTGTTTTCACACCTAGTTTGGTTGCCGACCAAATTACACATGTTGATCTTGTTTGATTGGTGAGAAATTTGGAGGGGAAACAAGCACACCATTACTTTCACATTTGTTTCCAATAAAGGAAAAAAAAACTTTTTTAACTTTCACTAGCCTATCACTGTCAAAAATTATGGATATTTCCCTCAAAAATGTTATTGATATGAATGCATTATCCTACTCCTACTTTGTATTAATATAGAGAGGCTCAACGTCTACATGTTCTACAATCACAACAATAAAAATAAACCTTACTTGAACTCTGCTTCTTAATGATTGAATCGTTCGTCAGGTTGCTGATGCTTGGCTGAAAATATGTTCCTCAGCCCATGTGCTAAAATCTGCTGCAGAAATGACATGAGTGTTGTAAAGAGCAAAATGGAACATGGTAAAAATGCATCCCCACCTGCAGAGAACAGAACCAGGGTTCACTTGAAGGCGGACCAAGACCCATGTTCTTAGTGGATCACAGTTTAGTTGTTCAGTGTGGACTCGAGTATTTTCACACAGGTTTGATTAGCCCACACCCAACAAGGTAGGTCTTAGGGATGCACCAATACCACTTTTTCCCTTCTGATGCTGATATCTCATCCTTAAGCATCGGCCAATACTGAGCACTGATACTGATACTAACATTATCTAACCTAACTAGCTTATAAGTCCTGATATTTATACAACTTCTTTTTTAAATATTTTATTTTGGAAAGAGCTGTGTTCTGTGGCACAATTAACACATGCAAATTTCTGAAGTCATGTGTTCATCCCGGTTACTGTAGAATAACTGTTTAATGTGTTTTCACAGATACTCTCTGAGCAAAGCTGCGGCTGATGCCTACGTGTTGTGTGATGTCATCGGCTGCATCGGAGAGCGGGAGTGGAGGACGGAGTGTGTGCGGGTCGTTGGGGACAACGAGCGGCCGCTCCTCCTGCAGTCGCTGTGGAAGCCCAGAGAAGGCTATGCCCGGCGCTTTGAGATCCAGCGCAGAGCCAGTGTGGAAGAGAAGAGCTCTAGAGACAAGGATACAGTGACCGCAGGTATCTTATTTTTAATCCATTTACAGCCCCATTTCCAAAAAAGTTGGGACGCTGTGTAGGGTGTAAATAAAAATAGGATGCAATGATGTGCAAATCATGTAAACCATATTTTAAAGGAAAATACTACAAAGACAACAAATGAAATGTTGAAACTGAGAAATGTTATTATTTTTTGAAAAATATTTGCCCATTTTGAATTTAATGCCAACAACACGTTTCAAAAAAGTTGGGACAGGGCATGTTTACTACTGTGTTTCATCACCTCTTCTTTTAACAACGCTCTGTAAGCGTTTGGGAACTGAGGAGGACCAGTTGCTGTTGTTTTGAAAGTGGAATGCTTTCTCCTTCTTGTTTGATAAAGGATTTCAGCTGCTCAACAGTTCGGGGTCTCCTTTGTCGTATTGCTGATTTCTTAATGCAGCAAATGTTTCAGTGGGTGACAGGTCTGGACTGAAGGCAGGCCAGTTTAGCACCTGGACAGAATTTCATATGTTGATTCATCAGACCGCAGGACACTTTTCCACTTCCCCTCAGTCCATTTTAAATGAGCTCAGGCCCAGAGAAGGTGGCAGCATTTCTGGATCTTGTTTGTATATGGTTTCTACTTTGTATTTTAGAGCTTTAACTTGCATTTGTGGATGCAGCGACAAACTGTTTTCACAGGCAGTGGTTTTCAGAAGTGTTCCTGAGCCCATGCAGTGATTTCCACTGAAGAATTTTAAATGCAGTGCTGTTTTTAATGCAGTGCCACCTGCGGGCCCAAAGAGCATTGCCAGCAAATACTGTTTTTTTGGCTTTGTCTCTTGCATACAGAGATTTCTCCAGATTCTCTGAATCTTTTAATGATATTATGTACCGTAGATGATGACAAACTAAAGTTCTTTGCTATTTTACATCGAGAAACATTATTCTTGAATTTGCCCATGCAGTCTTTCACAGACTGGTGAACTCCTCCTCATCTTTACTTCTGAAAGACTCAGCCTCTCTGGGATGCTCTTTTTATACCCAATCATGTTACTGACCTGTTGCCAATCAACCACCAGGAGTTTTTTTAGCATTACACAACTTTACCAGCCTTTTGTTGCCCCTGTCCCAACTTTTTTGGAACATGTTGTTGGCATCAAATTCAAAATGGGCATATAGTTTTCAAAAAACAACAAAAATTCTCAGTGTTAACATTTGATTTGTTGTTTTACTATTTTCAATGAAATATATGGTTTAAATTACTTGCACATCATTGCATTTTGTTTTTATTTACATTTTGCACAGCATCCCAACTTTTTTTGAAATGGGGTTGTAATATGAATCTCCCTCACACCCGGTACCACCACAGTGAGATTCACAAACAGAGAATGTTTACAGCTACTTGTAGCCCATCTTTCTGAGAGACCATTATATATATCTCTCTGTTCCCAGGCAACCAACTACTCTGCCCACTTTTAATCTGTGTTTATTTATTTATTTGTTTTTGCTCCCCCAGTTGAGCTTGCTTCCTGCACACAGTCCATTTCACATTCCTAATGACCTTGGCTCATGCACAAGATGCCACTTTTTATTTTGGGCTCATGTCTACATCAGCATACATACAACATACTATTTTGTAGGTTAACAGTGGCTTATTACAAACATACATACGCATATATATATATATATATATATATATATATATATATATATATATATATATACAATTCTTTTACAACCAAAGTAAATCTGAAATATTTTTATTGCGCAAAATAATAAAAATAAAACTGAACAATATAGAGTTAATCCTAACACTGTTCTCTAACACCAGTCCTGCAGGTCCAGCAAAAATGGTGCTAAATTTTATTCACATCTTAATTTCTACAAAGCTGAAATACATTTCCTATTCGCAAGCTTTTTGATTGAAATTTCCATTCCACCTTTAATGGAGAAGACATTATATTCTGGCACCTGTACACACGCGTAAGTGTAATTACTGCGCTATTTAAGGTGGGATGGGAAATTAAAATAAGAAGCCAACTTCAGTGTCAACAAATTTCTCAAATCATTTGTCTCATATGCGCATCCCATACCTCCAACCGTCACACGCTGCTGGAATTGGGAAAATATTACAGTCATTCACGCTTCAGTATCAGCTGGTCCACGGCTTGTTGCTCACACAAACCGCAATAACGTTGTCTGATGCAGCTGATTGAGTCAGGCAGCTCCTTTTAGGCAAGAGTAAACAGAAATGCTCTGGTTTTTCGTGTTAGGATAAGGCTAACCCCAAAAGACCGGCCATTCCTTTATGTCTGCTGCCTCAAAAACAGTGGACTACCTCAGACGCCACAGGCCTAGACAGTGGGAGGGAGATCAAGTAAAATGTATCAGCGTATGGAACTGGAGCTTTCTGTGTATTATTATGCTTCTATCACTGTGTAAAAGATGCACAAGGCATGCTTTAATTTTGACTTCACTGTGATTTTTTCCAAGCAAGCGCACATGTTCATTCAGAGCAAAGGTCAGATCTGTAAGAGCTTATTATTGTTTTGTTTAATCAGAGTAACAAAGAGTTTGTGAGACAAATAAAAATGTACACATTTTTAGCTTTGTTAGATCACAAAGCCACAGTGGCCTTAAAAGATTAAAATGTCAAGTTCTTGCAAACCAGTAAAAAAATACATGCTCTTTTGTATTAAAACATTTTGGAAAGTCTAGGTGTGCCAGATATCCAATTCCTATCCAATACTGGGGATCAGTTTTGGGTTCATATTCAAAAAAATGTTGGACCTGGAAACACTGAATAGCACTGAATTGTTTTAGCATCACAATACATAATCTGAAGTTAAATGGGTCATGTGATACATAAGCAACCGTAGCAGCCACATGACAAAGTCATTTAGACCTTACTAAAGGACATTTACATGTATATGATGTTTGCTGTTACAAACTGCATGTACATAAAGTAGAAGTGTATATTAAGTAAAAGTTTGTTGAACTAGTTCTAAGCTAACAGTCTAAAAAAAGTCAAGAATATGCCACTCAAATGTCTGTTACAAGCTTCAGATACTTCAAATGTCCCTGTTTACGCAGAGCTGGCCTAAGCAGTGATTAAAAATTATTTTCAATTGAATGTGCTGATACATGCTGATAACCTGATAATCCGTATTTTTATCATAGTAAGAAACAGAGCCTGTTGGACACAAATCCCCATGCATTATTTGTCACAGTGTTTTATTTATATATCTTTTTAAGTGAAGTATTTTGGATCTTTGAAAGACTCTGCAAAAGTCTTATAAAGAAAACCTCTGATTAACTGATTAATTGGCACAGTAATAACTAGATTATTCGATTACTTGTGTAAATGTTTGTGACAGCCTTGATGTGTTTATTTCCCTGTGCGGTGTTCCACAGGGATCAATGCTCAGGCCCGTAAACTGCAGAAGACACGCTCGCGGGGGAAGTCTATGGCATTGGTCGCAGGGGTGTGTGGAGGTGCTGTGGACGGTGGTCTCTGGCGGAGCCGTAGTGAAGCGGACCTGAGAGCAGAGAGTCAAGGCCAGCAGGGTCCCTCTCCTGAGAACCAGAATAGCCTTAAGAAGCAATCACAGGGGGAGAAATCAGACGCCCACAAAGCGCCACACTGTCCAGCCGGTGAAAAAGAAGAGACGGAGAGCAGCGATGACAACCACACACAGTATTCCATTCACCCACCCCTGCACTTCCCCTACTTCCTGCTACTGCAGGGCTTCAGTTACACACAGGTAGTACAGAACACCACCCCCCCAAAACACACACACACACACACACACACACACACATATGCACATACTCTCCACTGCCCTCACCTCCTGCCTCATCAAGTACAACTGCTACTGTTTCTGTGGAATTCCTGTCTCATATTTTTTGGTGTAGTCAGTATATCAATTCAGACCACAAAAAGGGCAGCGCTGGATTTACTTGACTCAAATGAGTATTTCCATGTGAATAAAATGTGTCGACAATCTTGACTTTTAGTTAACTCGCTTAACTGTGTTGATGTAATACATTTTAATCATGTGGAAATGCTGCACACATTTGAATTAAATCCATTTAATAAATAGCTTTTTATTTAATACTGAATCTATAACCCTCTAGGTATGACTGAAAAATGCATATTACAATGCATCGTACTGATGTTGCTGTGATAGCATTTGATCTGCATATCTCGCCTCTCGGGGGGTTTTGACACGGTAGCTTTGGGTCAGTACAGCCGAGGTGACGTCAGTGTGCCATGGAACAAAGCTTTATTCCATAACACCTCAATCCCATTGGAAAAGAACACAGAGAGATCATGAGTGCCAGGCAGAAGGGAAAATCCCTTGAAAAACAGCAATGTGTGCAAAAATCAGCTGGATATAAACACAGCACAGGAAGTAGTGTTTCGAATGCAGGGTGTCCAGAGGGTGGACACATTTCCTGACAGATTAGCTTTGCCTGTTGAGTGATCAGCACCACACAAGTACACACACGCACACACACACACAAAGATACTGATAAAAGGATGTTTGCTAGTTGATGTTGGTCAGAGATGTTCAGCAGTCATGTGAAGAAATAGTACCTAAGTACAGTATAAAAGGAAAAATGTTGAAAGGGGACAGAAGGTAAGAACATAATATAGTAAGGACTGTTTTACATGACCGTACTAAAGCAGTAGTTTCCCAGAAATAGCACCATTTTTCTCTTACCTCAAATGCAGTTGATCAGCCAAGACATGTTTGGTGTCTGGAGTTTGCGTCTTGCCTAAGTAAGTCTATAAAAATGGATATGTTGTAGATGGACAGACAGACAGACAGACAGAACTTTATTGCTCCTGAGGAAATTACATTGTTACAGCAGCAGGTACATAAAAACACTTGCACAGTGCAAACATACATTATATATCCACTTAAACGGTGGTGTAAGTTGGAAATAAGGTGTAAAGGGGAATAAAGATATGTAATGTAGAAGGACATAATAAAGGGCATTCGAATTATATGTAAGCAAGTACACTGAAGTAGCATGAGGTAGTTTCCAATACACAGCAGCAGTCGTTATACATTTTAGTGCATTTAAAAGAAAGATCTAGCAGCGCAATGAATTCCTGTGTCTTAACCAGGCAGGTAGCTCCTTGGATTTACAGAGAAACTGAAGTATTGCATTAAATTATTTGTGGCTAAAAACAGTAGTAGCCACCTTGAAGACAAAGTTTGTTCGGTTTTGTTTGGACTGGTCAGTTTTAATGCATAAAATATCAGAATTGGTAGATTTTCTTTTTTATTTTGGCTGATCTGTGTAATATGTGATAAATGTCATAGCATAATTATTTATGACTCTTTGAGCTAAATATCCAGTTGCCTCTTAAGTTCAATGTAGCACTTTATATTATTTGTATTATTTTTAGACAAGTAATTTTCCATTTAAAATACCAGTTTGGTTTACCAGTTACATTGTCAGAAGCCATATGAGCAAGCCTGTTGAAGATTACTTAACAGTGCCGTTTGAGGCAAGTCTGTGATGATTTAGGCATGTAGTTTGCAGTAACACTGCTAATTGTTGCATTTGAGTTTCCATTACTTGTTAGTAGGGTTGTTTTTCCATTTTTCTGTTATCATAGTATTAATTTCCACAATAAACCCAATCATTAAGAAATGTGTAGGCAGAACAGTACACTACCTCACAGACATGGTGCCAGAGTGAGGTAATTAAATTGGCAGAACAAAGCTTTAGAAGTGCAATGAGCGGTCACCTGCGCTGGGACTTGAACCCTGCTGTCCCACATGAAGCGCAAGTAACCTCCAATTAAAAAATCTACACATGCACAGTGTTTTTGTATGTTAAATGTGCAAAGTAGAAATGGCTTCTGTCTTAACAAACCCACATCTCCATAAGGAGCTTTTTAAGGAATTAAATATATCTTTATTTGTTTTTGTGCCCTTCAGTTCTGATGTAATTAGCTTTTGGTATTTTATTAGTGACAATATTGAATGGTGAGTGATGCTTGTGTAATTTTGTATTTTGCTGTTTGCTTAAAGGGGAGGTTAAAAAATATGTACTTGCTGCACATCCAGTCAACGGCACATCATCGTGATATCCAACAGCTTTATCCAGCATGACATTTTATGCACATATCATGCAGCCCTATTTGTTAGTTACCTTAGCCTGATAGCTCCAGTGCAAAACTGAAGGAGCCTCAGACACCAAACTTTGGCTGATTGACTGCATTTGTGGTAAGGAGGAAATTGTGAAATATATTTTTTAGCTATCACTTTTAGTGTATTTTGAAGTATTTTCTCTCAGTGTTCGCCTTCAGTCCTGGGGGCCTGTGACCAGCACATCAAGCACACCCAATTCAGCTCATTTGCTCATTGCCAGGTATAGCAGGTGTTTGTGTAGGGAATTACTAAACTTTGCTGGGCACCAGCCCTCGAGGCTGAAGCTGTACACCCCTGCTCGATCTTAAGTACGACTGAAGGTTCTTCTTAATCTATCTTGTTTTTCCCTATTTTAACTACTTTAAGTAGCACTCAGCAAAACCTGGAGTTCTAGCAGGTTATTTATAAACTGATGACATAATACAAACTCACTGAGTACAGCGAAGATGAAAAAAATTGTTTACTCTTACTGTGTCCCGCTAGGTTGATGACTGGCATACCCAGCAGCCACTCTGGGCTCATTAGTAGGATTCGGTCTCCGCTCCATTTAGAGCAAGGCTGCCTCAGCTCGAGCTTACACTGTCTGCATCACAGCAGGACACTGCTTCAAGTCTGAACTGCATGCACATCATTATGTCTGACTCTTTACTGCTGTCTCGTTCCCTAGTGATCCTCCTCCCAGTCTTGCTCATTTACATAGAATACCATCTGAGGACAGCAGAGTGCTGCTATCAGAGCACTTATATTCTCTCTGCCGTGCTTTGGCTACCTGCATGTTTCAAGTGTAACAGATCTGTGAGATTGCTTATTGTTTATTATTATAGTATGTCATAGAGTTTCAGAAACTGCATGAGGAAGTCTGTTTGAGATTACTTAAGAACTTGATATGGTTTGAGACAAGTGTGTGATGATTTAGGAATGCAGTTTGCACAATCCTGATTAATGAGGTTTAACAGTGAACCTCACAGTGCAAAACTAAAGACGCAAACTTCAGACACCAAACATGTCGTTCAGGGCAGAGATGGGCAATGTGATGATATTATATTGTTATCATGATAAATAATATGCTTCTCTGAGTACATCATGGATATCGTCAGCCTGTTTAGTTGGATTTAGTGCAGTGCTGTATGTGAAATGTTAAGTAAAATATCACTAATAGTGAATTGTGTCTTTGTCTCAAAATATCAGCAATCGAGTATTGTGTATTGTGAAAATCACTTTAAGTATCGTGAAATGGTATTTTTGCCATATTGCCCACCCTTAGTTTGAGATAGGATAGACATAGATACATTTGAAGTAAGAGGAAAACTGTATGAATTTCATTATTTACAAATCTTTTGCTTTAAACACTTACAATCCTGGGCTTAGTAGTAGGGCACAATATGGGCATAAAATGCGATATAAATAGGCATAAATTGCTCACCTCTCTTTTAAGCAAATTAATTTTTGTTGTGACAGTAGCCATTACTGCTTCATACACTTAAAATATAATACTGGATATGAGAACAGTCCTAATGTTTGATGTGTTTTTACAGGCTTGTTGTTGAGGATGGTGCCGTTTTTTGAGCTGTCCATGTGTGTGTTTGGTGTATTTGGTCTTTTAGCTGAGTGGTTAAGTTACTCTTCCCCCATGTGGGAAAGCAGCTTTCAAGCCCAGTGAGAAAAAGCACTCATTAGGCGTCTAACAGTTTGTGGCGCAATGTAATGTTGTGCATGTATGAGGTAATTTGATCTGTTCTGTGATCACACCTCTTAACAATGTATTTATCATGAAAACTCATATCATGATAATGATAAAATGTACAATTTATCATACAGCCCGACTTATTGCAAAGTTATTCTTCAGTTATAGAAGCGTGCAAAAATTGAGACCAATTGGCAGGCGATGGCCAATTATGCGGATACTTGTCTTGGTTGTAGTACATTAGCGTCACTTAAAACTGATACTTCATCTCATTCTATCTTCAGGATTTCATCATCTACTCACTGAACAGGAGCAGCACAGTTTTCGGCCGTGACACTGAGCCGTCTGACCAGGAGAAAGAGCGGCCTGCTATAGATGTGAAGCTCTGGGCCCCTGACATCGAGGAACAACACTGCTGTGTGAGGCAACTCGAGGTTGGTCCAGCCTCAGTCCCTGAGCAGGAGCCCAGGAGAACAGCAGGGGTCACCGTGCTGAAGCCCCTGCTTGGGGCTGCAGTGAAGAGGAATGGAGTCAGCATCAGTGAAGAGACAGAGCTGCAGTCGGGAGATGTTATAGGCCTGGGTGACCATTACCTCTTCATGTTCAAGGACCCTGTCGCTGAAGGGATGAAAAGTGACTCTCCTGCTGTGATCCTGTCATGGCTGACTGAGTCAACCCAGCCACCACCTCCCCTGTGTAGGTCCTGTGTGTTATCTGTGTCAGAAGGCCCTCTGAACACCCTGCCCTGCTTGAGGGAGGCTGGGGGGAGAGAGCTCATCCTTGTCTATGATGTGGAACATGAAGAACGCATCCTGAAGGAGATATTCACAAGGGCGGACAGCTATGATGGAACACACAAACTAACCCCATCATTCCTGCTGTGCTTATGCCTCCAGTGGTCAGCCACCCATTTCCCCATGGCTGACCTGAGACGACTCCTCCTACAGATAGCCAATGAGGTTCAGATGGCTGTGTGGGTAAGGTTTAAATTCCAAATTACAGCACATCTATGTTTTCTTCAGTCTGTGAGTGTTTTTGAAGTCCTCACTAGTATGCTGTTGTTTTTATGTGTATACAGGAAAAGGCAAAGGAACTCGCAGCAATTCAGCCTGAAATGTAAGTTCTTGTAATTTTATCATCCAATCAGAACATCTGCATTTAAGCTGCACCATTAATATTTGTAGTAATTTAATTACTCACTTGCTTTATTACTTAAGTATTCGATCTAGTGTCAGTAACGTTATGACACCCACATGTGCTATTTAATAGCTACCTAATGGAGATATCTAGGCTATAGTAGCAGGGATGTCTGCATTGCATAACAAGGAGTACAAGGAGAATTCTGTGTTTTGAATTTTCGGCATAATTCATTTGTGAAGATGTAAACAAAGTCATTCAGAGTGGTTTGACATGTCATGTTTAATTGTAGAAAAATGTACTAGTGTGAGGCTTAAAATGTGCTTGTAGTGCAGATCCGGGCTGAGGTTTTGCTCCTTCAGTGTCATTACCTGTGTGTTACTTCTAATTTTTATTTAATCTCATTTATTCTCCTTAATAAATGCAACTGAGAACATGCTAACTAGATAGCAATCCAGAGCATTAAGACACTTATTTGTACTGTGCTAGGAGACTGTACTGTTCTCTTGCATCGCAAGTTGAGTCTTGCAATTTGTGCCAGATCACAATCTCCACTGAGTCTGTTGTGAGCTGGCAACTGTGTGAAGTATGTAGATTCATGAAAGTAGTAAAATGTCAGGTATTTGAATGGCTTTTGCATTTTTTAATATTTTTATTGTTTAATAGAATATTATCACATATTTGTTGCAGCCCTAATATAATAGCTGTTATTAATATGACAAGTGACTCCAAACTTTTGAGTGCTGGTGTAGCATTATATCTTTTAAGGCCATTTTCTAGTATCAGCCAGTCTGATATCAGATTGATCACAACAAAAAGGAGATTGGTGCAACCCTAATGGCTATCTCCTTCCTCTCTATTGCTGTTTATAGTTATCACTGTATGTGTTGTCATCCTTGTCCAATGGAAACATTACATTATTGTAACAAGATTTTATTCTTCTATGTCATATTTACTTTCTGAGAGGAACATTCATTATAAAATGTTCACACAATGTAAAACACATTTTTTACTTAGTGTAAAAAAAAATGAATAAATAAAAGTTGTAAAAATAGAATCTTTAATGTGACAGCAATGCTTTTTATCTCCATACCTGGACATCTTTTTTAATAGTGAAGGTGAGGTGAAGCCTGTGGAAGTGGTTAACACTGAGAAGCTTCTCGGAGGTCTGCAGCCGCTTGTTCTGTGGATGGCAAACTCCATCGAGCTCCTCCATTTTATCCATCAAGAAGTGCCTCGCTTACTGCATGGGATCTCACGAGAGGAAGAGGAAGAGGAAGAAGACTGCATGGGTAATTACTTTACTCATGGTAAATTGTGGTGATTACTGAAAGTTTGGTTTACCATGTTCTTTATTGCATTCATCCCATCCCATCATAACGTCTCTGCTCATATGCTCCTCATGTGTGTTTTTTTTTGTTTGCAAGCTGTGCTGGAGTTGCGAATGTCCACTGTACGACCAGCCAGCGAGGAGGCCATGACTGTCCTGGAGGAGGTCATTATGTTCACCTTCCAGCAGTGTGTGTATTACCTTACTAAGGTCAGTGTTGCTGCACTCTTTCTGCTTTTAGATGAAGGTTAAAAAAATGAAACACCAGTGCTGACTTAAGTCTGCTAAAAACGGTTGCTTATTTCGTCACATAGGACCTGTTGTTTTTGTAGGGATGAAAGTTGAGTAAGAAAAATAATCCTGAACTAACATTACCACAGTGAGCCATGTGAGCTTGTTTTGAATCGTAGTGGCTGCAATGAATGAGACATTATCAAGAAAACTTAGGATCAACTCAGTGAGCAGCAGGTACATAGCAGTCACATTGTATGTCTAGTAAATACTGAGTGTTTATGCAGCGCTAAGTTCTAACCATTTAGAAATTACCTCGAGTGCAACCAGGTGGCCACTACACAGGGAGATCAGTCAGAATTCTGATAACTGATGTTATTCATATGATATAAGCCTTTTTTTCACTTTCTAACCCTCTTCGGTCCCCCATGCCACACACAATGGGTCCAATAAGTCTTAGTCCCACTTCACACATACTGTGTCTGCGTGGCCCTGAGTGACGCGGCAGTGTGAGCACGACAGCTCGAACACGCTGGCCTTTCATACATACAGCATTTGTGCTACGGAGAAGAGCAGCGAGAAACTTGTACAGACATTCCTTTTTCCAGATGGATAAATGGTCACATCAGTCATTCTGCTCAACAAAAATATAATTTAGAATAGTGCATGGTATATTTGTTTATCCTCAGCGGCATTTTGACTTGTGATTAGGAAAAAGTTTCAAGCCTGGTAGACCAACCGGAAAATCTTTTTGCAGCACAGAGTGTTTAACTAGTATTTCATCATGAATTAAATTCTACTAAATTAAACAGCATTTTCAAGTTTTTATATGGTCTTCTGTTCAATTTTCATTGATTTTCATGGCTTACGTCAGTGTATTTTGCGCATGGAAAAAACAGCGCCGGGTCTATTCTCTAAATACCTCACTGCTTGAGTGTGACGCCTGGGACGGTCGGCCGCTTCGCACACACAGCTTGTATGAAAGCGCTGACAGGTTAACATGGGCGCCGAAATGAAAAGCAAGACTTTCCGCGTCGCTCAGGTCATGCAGAAACATTATGTGTAAATCAGGTCTTAGACTTTGAAAACATGATTTTTTTTTTTCTTCATTTTTATAAATTACAGTATGTCTTGGAGTTTCAGAAGCAAGTGTGATTGAGATTACTTAAGAAGTTGATATGGTTTGAGACAGGTTTGATGATTTAGGAAGGTTTGCACAATGCTAATTAATGAGCTTTAACTTACAACAGTCTCATAGGTCCATTGCAAAACTAAAGAGGCAAACTTCAAACACCAAACATATCTTCAGGGTAGAGATGGGCAATATGATGATATTATATTGTTATCATGATAAAGAGTACAGACATTTTTTGGATGTGTAAACAAAAAAATAACTAACTTCCCCTTTAAGCAAACCACAAAATTCAAAATTACAAAAGCACCGTTCACTACTGTGCAAAATAAAATACTAATAAAATACTAACAACTTCTTACAACAGAATTGCAAGCACATTTTGCGTGCACTGAAAGGCTGAGAAACAGTCAGAGTTACCTCAACACCTTTTTCTATAAAGGCCACAGAACCAAATAAAAATATATATTTTTTTAATATAGGTATGCAAAGACTACCTGCCACGCTGCCATTTAAGGCAAAAGAATACTAAGAAATTCTGAAATTCATGTAAACATTCAAAAATGTTAATTTTATACTCAAATTGTGTTGCTGGCAATATAATTTTCAATGACAAATGTTGTGTTAAATTAGAAGAGAATGTCATTTTTTTCAAGTGGTCTCAGACCTTTTGACCCCACTGTACATCCTCAACACTTCATGTTTTACTCACTGGTCTGACCAAAGGCTAGTAGGAGTGGACGGTGTGAGTTGGTTTAAATGAAGACTGTTCCCAAAAATTCCCCCAAAAATTTTTGTATTATCCTTAGAAGTTGCAGTTATAGCTGATGACAAAAGCATGTCATTTTATATTAAAGTCAACACGAATCAGAAATCGTAAGCAGGGGGGATGAACATGGTCATGGAGCCCCAAGCTATACTTTTCTGTAGGCTCCCCAACCTAAACACACCATAAGCACATTGTTCACAGACAGTCGGTAAATAGAGCAAAGTACAGCAGGTCTAAACACATTAAAGAAATCAGATGCAATGTTCTAACCTTTTATCTATTACAATATAGCTGCTTTGCTGTGCTTGTTAGACACTAGTAGCTTTATGAAGAGAAGGAAGGCACCACAGATTTATTTCCTGACCTGGAAAGAGGTCAGATGTGTTCATATACTGAGAGTTCTCATGGCTTGAATCACCAGGCATTTCAGTGGCCATTGTTAAGTGGAAGTACTGACTGCACTGCTCAGTTTGATTGAGGTTATTCCATTGAGTCATGGTCAGCACTTATCACAGTTTCCTTTCCCCTCAGCACAGAGGTGAAGCAAGTGTTTTCTAATGATAACTGCCCTTCACTAAGTGATTTGAATGCATTTTAAAAGGATTTCTCCTGTGAACAGATCTCTGGCCCTGTGGGTAATTACTTCATTTAGCTGTAGGGCTACAGAATGAATGAATTTTGTAGAGCTGTGTCCTACACAGAGCAGTAAGGCTTCGTCTTTTAATGTCTGTGTCAGGAATTTCATTTCAACTGTTCTTTGTCCAGTAGAGTTTCCAACCTTCTAACCTCCATTCAACCTTGAGTGTGGAACATGCCAAAACCTTTGCTTAATGTTCAGTTCTCACAATCTTTCTGTCTCCTGTTTTGCGTCTGTTATAGACGGTTGCCGTCTCTTATAGCTCCTCTGACAGCCATGCTGGCTAAAACAATGTGAGGAATCTGGTCTGACAGTGGCCTAGCCCACAAGTTTAACTCCCCAAAAGAATGGCTCAGAAAACCACAGTCTGAAGGAAAGTGCTTTAGCTCCGGCCTTTCGGTGCCATTATGAAATATAGAGGCTGAATAAATTACTGTTGGTTCTTCAAACCACAAGAAACAGTGGGCATACAAGTAGAGTTTCTGGGGTAAGAGGCGATGTTTTCTGGTGAATGCCTGTGTGTTCCTTGCTCACAGGAGTAGACCCAGATTTTTCTCCGACCCCACCCTCCCCTGTCTCCCAATCATTCAGACATAATTTCATAGAGCCTGGATTTGGGTCTGATCCATGTTCCGTTCCTGTGAAGTTCCTTGAGGCGTCTGTTCTCTGGGAAATTTCAATTCGTCTTCAGTCGGAGAGACCGTTTGTCATGGGAAGAAACGATTTCCATGGGCGTAGGTTGATTTGAGGGATTTTAAGGCCCAGAATGTGAACATGCTTTGCCTGGGGAAAATGGCATTTGAGCATTTGACAGGTTTGTGATTAGAACGTAGCTGTCATCAGGCTCAGTAGAACGGATGTGGCAAATGTGGTTGCTGGAGAGAATGCACACTACTAAATCATGAACTTGGCAGTATTTATAGCAGTAGCCTACATGCATGGAGTAAACAAAAAAGGATTATGTTTGGCCAATTAACACTTGAAGCCTGTTTCTGTATTTATCTCGACGTTGAATGCCGTGAGGGTGTCTTAGTGTCAAAATGCACAATGACTTGTGCTTCGTGTATCTGTTGTATATTGGACTGTGTTCTTCTTTTTTTATTGAGCAACCTGGTTATTACACTCAGAAATTGTCATCATCTGACATCATGATGATATCCAGTATAATTATGATATATTATAAATATAAGTGCTATATATATAATGTACTGCACATTACCATTTGGAGAAAAAATTTACAACACCAGTTTCAAAAAGTTGGGACGCTGTGCAATATGTAAATAAAAACAAAATGCAATGATGAAAATTCTTTTTGGAAATCATGGACGCTGTGTCCTCCAGGCTGAAGACCACTCAGCTTGTTATCAGCACACAGTTCAAAAGCCAGTATTCATGATGCTATGGAGTGCATTAGTGCACATGGCATGGGTGACATGCACATCTGTGAAGGCCCCATTTATGCTGAATGATATATACAGGTTTTGGCAACATATGCAGCCATCCAGACGACGTCTTTTTCAGGGAACATGTTGTCGGCATCAAATTCAAAATGGGCATATATTTTTCAAAAAGCAATACAATTTCTCAGTTTCAACATATGATATGTTGTCTTTGTACTATTTTCAATTAAATATTGGGTTTAAATGATTTGCACATCATTGCATTTTGTTTTTATTTACATTTTGTGCAGCGTCCCAACTTTTTTGGAAATGGGGCTGTAAATAAAAACAGAATGCAATAATGATAATAATAATTTAAAATAGTACAAAGACAACATATCAGAGGTTGAAACTGAGAAATCTTATTGTTTTTTGAAAAATATATGCTCATTTTGAATTTGATACAGTATATAATATCATTAAAAGATTCAGAGAATCCAGAGAAATCTCTATATGCAAGGGACAGGGCAGAAAACCAATGATGGTGGGTGATGAAAAATCAGACACAATTATGTAGTGGAAATCACTGCACTGGCTTAGCAATACTTCCAAAAATCAGTTTGTCGCTGCACAAATGCAAGTTAAAACTTCACCAGGCAATAAAGAAACCACATATGAACAGGATCCAGAAATGCCCCCACCTTAATAATGACAAATTGATGCAAGGTTAACCAGCAGAGCTTCTTACCCCATGCACAAAAATAAAATGTTGACAGCAGGGCAAGATGTTCCCTTTTAGCATTTTCTCTTTTGTGCAAAAATAAATAAATAAATAAAGCTGTCTGCTGTTCCAGTTTATTTCCCGTAACTATGTGCAGGTTTATGCATCATCATCCTGTAAATGCAAAACTCATGCACAGATATGGTTTAGCTTTACAGTAAATGCATATTCTAAAGGGGAGCATCTCCCCATGTTACTATTTATATCAGTCCCGTTAGTTTTCCCATATTACACCCCCTTTTTCCACAATAATGTAGAAAATACCACAAATTGCATACAGTGTCAGTCACACATTAGCTACAGTCAATATTTTTAATAGGAAAGTTTAACTAAATGCAAACATGGTTGCTAGGAAAGCCAGCAGACATTTTACAGCTAGAATAACACATGTGGAGCTGTCTTTCTTGTTTTTAGGGCCTGTTATGCCATTCTATCCAGCAGAAAAGGAAGCAGCTGTTAGCAGGCTTAGAAAAATAAAAGCATGGTGTGTTTGTGGGTTCGTGATTCCCAGAGTCAAACGCACACTAATTTGGCGCTTCTGAGATCATCGTAAATACTGTTGATAAAAAACCCTGTAAAATATATAAACTGCCAGTGAAATTTTGAGGGCACTTTGCCTTCTACTCAGTTTTTTAGAGTAATGTTTGAACTTCACTATAACTTTTCACTTATGTAGGAAAAAAACACCCACAAAGGTTTTAACATGAAACTACTGTTAATATTTTGCAGCTCAAAGATTCATGTTATTCAAAGTGTCTTTCTGGGTATAAGGAGTAGTTTTAGCTACAATATTACTTTACAGTTTTCTTCTAACACTTAAAAATACTGCAATTAAACATATTAAACAACTCAAATGTTTAAGTGCTGTTGAGTGCCGGCATCACAACACAAGGATAATGTGTGTGGGATAGGCATTATTTTCATTGCAGTACTTCATTGCAACTCGGTTGTTTCTTCAGAAAATCAGCAGAAATTTAACCAGCGTTCTGTTTAATAAAGTATTTTTTAAACCGACAAAGAAAATATGCTAATTTGTAATAACTTTTATACAGTAGCCATAAAATGCACCTGTTTTCGATGTCCCTCTTTTTAGATAAGAAGTTCAGTTAACTAAAAATTTTAAGGCAGCCTGTTTACTAACCTAAAACAATAAATACTTTTCACAATTCAGTGTATTTTTTTCAGCTTTTTTTATTGTAGCAGCTTGCTGTGATGTTTTTTTATCAAGAAAGCTGAAGTTGTGCTGTATGTTTATCTCATCTCTCCTCTTTTCACCCCTCATCGCTCGCTAGCAGCTCAACATAGTCACGTGTTTCACATCAGAGAGCCAACAGGGTTCTAGCTAATCTGATGACAGACTTACAGGGACAAATATATATTTAATTGTACTAATTAAAAATTCCCAAACTGATTTCCCAAACTAGGCCAATAGGTGTCTCCAAACTTTTGACCGGCAGTGAAAACACTGGAGTCTGACACAGTAGATGCATAAACAGCAAAAAGCTTTATTGTTTACATTCTTGGCACACACGTTTAAGTAGGAAGAAAGTGTTGAGTTTTCACCCTTCTTTTTCTTCTCTCTCCATTTTGTGCTTTGAGATGAATGATATGCATGATATTTGTAAGGCGAGCAAGTTGCCAAAGCAGCCAGCGGTTGCCAGGAACGCGTTCACGCACGAGCAAAGCAGCTTTTTGAGAATGTATACTGTACATATGACAGGCTGGGTTGCGGCTGCCAAAAGCGGACTGGCTGCAGCTGTCGACGGGCCGAACAAAGGCAGCGTTGTAGGGCCCTGGCACGCGGAACATAAAGGAGCGTTGAGCTGCAGAAAGTGGGGGCAGCGCAAAGGCCAGCAGAGATGATCTCTCACATACACAGGGCTCTTCTCTCTGACCCGCTTCTGCTGGTCGGCCGCCATGAGGCCTGAAGTTCCTCCAGCAATCTGTCTCCTTTTCAGGGATTTCCCTCCACTACATTAAGTACATGGTCACTGGCCACATGCGTACTCTTCTTAAACGACTAACATGATATGGTATTTAGGGTGTTAGCATGTCTGTGCATTTACACCACAGTTAGTTCTGACCACACTGTCCGATTAGTTGAAAACACCGTCTGATAACAGATAACAGCACCTTTTTTTAACCAGACCTGTGTCATTCCACTGAGCGCTAGTTGTAAAGTTACAGCACTGGGCCTCGTTCACCAATACCACCTAAGTTTTGAGGTTAAGGTTAGGGTTAGGATTAGAGCCAGGTTTAGAGTTAAAGAAAGTTATGGTTAATTTAGTAGATATTTAGTTGAATGTAACTTGAAAGTAAATTAAGTATCTACAACGCATCTGAAGTAGACTATCCAAATAAAGTGTTACCAAATATTTAAGTAAAAACATATTTTTGAAACATTCAGTGCTCCCTTGCTTCTAAATCCAATAAAACAGTTGAGGTCATGTCATAGATATCTCAATCTTGATGTTATTCATGATAACACACTCCTTCTCAATTTTTTTGCTTAAATGAATGGCTAACAGAGGGGTTTTATTAAAGGATTCCTACTTATCCACTTTTTGGCATGTGTCAGGACATGGGAGAGAAGAAGAGGACAAAGGGAAGGAAAGATGACCATTGAAACAGAGGAATGTGCATTGTTTTGTCATGTGGGGGGCTTCTCTGGTCAACCTGTTCATGAGGGTCACTTTCCAGAGAAGGCTTATCACACACATTCCTGTAATGGTTTAACTAACACACAGAGGATCATCAGACCCCACCAGAGAAGCTGTATCCTCTTGGAAAGAAGAGGAAGTTCCTCGTGCCCTGCAGGCTCACTCTTGTTGCTTATTGATAAGTGTTAGATGTCCCTTGTTCTTTCTGTGACAGCGTTTCCTTTTAAAGCGACAGTTCTGAGAAAAATTGATTCCCCTTGTAGTTAATGAGGCAAGGTATGTCAAGGCATGCCAGTATTTAAAAATGATGATGGTATTCCAAAATTATGACCAGTCAAACTTCTATTTTATCTGATAAAAACAAACACATTCCAGCCACATATATTTTAGGGCTCACCAATAGGTGGCGCTGATAGAAAAAGGGGAAAAATCAGAGCATGGAAAACCCCCCGAAAATCTAAGTATGATAGTAGCTTAGTGACAGCTAAGAGCTACACACCCCAAAGAAAACACGATCCATTTTGGCGTTGCCACTCTAACACCAGCCATCAACAGGTATCATTTTAGCATCAGTTAGCTAAAAAACCAAACCTGTGCATTGGTGTGTGGCACGATTGGCCTTCCATTTGCTGAGCTAAAATGCTACAGTCCCATACTTCACAAAACAGGTTAGATTTCTTTGAGAAACTCACTCTTGTTGTCATTGCTGAAACAAAGATGAACTAAGATTGACAACTCAGTATTAAACATTTCCATATTCAAAGGCGATTCAAAAGTTATGTTGAAATGTAGTTACATACATTCTAACGGACCATGAAAGTTTGCCTCTCCCCCATTCACCCCTACATCCCGCTTCCCCATCAGGCATTTTTATGTTGTGCTGGGGGACTGTCTCTATTTACACACATTTAATGTTTAAACACAACATAGATGGTCTTGCTAACCGTTTTAATGTATACAAGGATGCCAAAGACAGCTACACAAACACATGATCATTTAACTGGAGGTGTTTTATACAAATGGGAAAAGTTGCAAGTGCAAATAATACTGAAGAGTACAGAATGCTGAAATTTGGTCATTTCCATCTTCATTGACTACTTTTCTTTGCTGTGGTGAAGTAGTCAAGCTGGTCAGCTAGTAATAAAATGAAAACTGAAGAAAGCGTAATGTTAGAAAGCATTTTGCAATGCTCACTTCTCAGATTTGAAGCATTTTGCTATATCCTGCGAATTCTTCTTGCCATCTCATCATTTCTTTCTTTCTTTCTTTCTTTCTTTCTTTCTTTCTGTCTTTCTTTCTTATGTATTTATTTATTTTACTTTGCTGCAGTTGTCCATCTTCATGTGAACCACAAATGAAAATGGCTACATTGTTTAGCAATGCCAAAGTAATGCACTCTGTAGAACGCTGCCTGTTCTGTCAAACAGCTCGATTCACACTGCTGCAGGAACTGAAAGCCTAATCTTTCTCTACTCTACAGTTTCTGTGTTGTGTTTATGTGTGAAATGTTGATAGTCCACAATGACCAGCCCAAAACATTACTGGCCCACCAAGAATTCCCCTCTCCTCCCTATTACCCACACTGGCATTGCTACTGTTTTTAGCCATGCCACGTACTTCTGTCCATTTTTTTAGATGTCAGAAACATAAGCAAGTGTATATCAGATTACTTATCAACTCAACAGCGTCTGATCACTCAGACATGAAGCTTACGTAATGCTAATTGGTGAAGTAAAGCTTACATCACTTGCTAGCTACATTAGGCTTGCAGCTCCAATGCAAAACTAAAGAAGTAAACTTTGGACATTAAGCAAGTCTTGGCCAATCAACTAAAAGGCAAAGGTACCAGACACTAAAACGGAATACAGCAGTCACTTCCCAATAAAGATGTTGTATTTCATTCTTGTAGCAACGTCAAATGTTATTAATTTTGTTATGTTTTGTCCTGTTTCTCTCACAGCTGCTGTACCCAGTACTGCCAGGCCTGTTAGACAGTAACCCTTTCTCAGAGGATGGACAGGTGCAAATACCTGATGATGTTGGCAGCGTGTTGGCCATCCTTACAAAAACGCTGCATCTAGTCAAAGACTTCCACGTGCACCCCGAAATCTCCTTACAGCTCTTCACCTACCTCTTCTTCTTCATCAATGCCTTCCTCTTCAACCTGCTCATGGAGAGAGGTAAAAGATTTATATCATAGTTCTGAATGAACAGACTGCTTTACTCAGCCATACAGACTAGGTTGGTTTTGTACATTTGTTAATGAACTCTCTCATGTGACGTTCGTATGCAGGATCAGGAGGGAGCTTCTATCACTGGTCATGTGGGGTTCAGATCCGGGCTAATTTGGACCTACTGATGGACTGGGCTTATGCGGCCGGGCTGGGGGAACTGGCACAAAGCTACTTGCTTAAAATCTCCTCAGCTGTCAATCTGCTGGCAACGCCCAGGGAAAACCTGCTACAGGTCAGAGACACTTGCTGTTGATCAACATGTAAACATGATTAACCCTAATGGGTTTGGACCATTCTACCGAATTCAAACTGCGGACCTGCAGTAAACAAACTATTTAAAAAAACAATGAAGTGTTCAGACCTTAGATACTTACAGTGATTATAGTATGATCTTTTTTAAACTCAAGGCATTAATTGAGATAGTAATAAGCTAAATATATACAAAATCATCATTTGTAGGGTACTTTCTTTTTTGTCCCGAACCCTAACCCCTCAACTTCAGCTTGTGAAAATATTTTTTTTTTGCATTTGGTTTTTTAAGATCATTTTGACTTTTTTCAAATGAAGTTGCAAGATTTAGATTTGTTATAAGATTTATTATAAGTTTCAGTTTTGATCATATCAATAAAAAAAAAAACCTTAATTCAAAATGAATGATGTGCCACATTTTCCTGTCACCACCGGAACACAAGTTTTACTCCATAGGCGGAGCCTTATTTTAGCCACACCCCTGCATTTTAGAGCAGGAAGTGAGACTGCATGCCTGTCCCTCATGGCATGTTCTGAAATAAATGTGTTCCCATGTCTCAAAATCAGTGTGCAACATTAAGAACTGTCATTACCCAAACATGTTTTCTGCAATCAAGTGAACATTTTTGTGTTTCAATGAAACATGTTATAAATGTATGTGTGTACAACTGTTCAAAGCTGTGTTCTTCTTGAGTTATGCTCAAAATTGGCTAATTTTAGTCACAACTGAAATATTTGATAAAGTTTCAGTAGCGGTATGATTGTTTTCAGTGAGAAAATGGAAGGTTCAATCATTTGTTATAATAAAATAAACATAATTAAGGTAAAGGGTCACTCCACACAAAAGGATTTTAGTCTAAAGTCCAAGTCGGTTAAACGTTCGACATGTGTTTTCAATTCTGACTTTGAGGCAATTTGGTAGAATAATCTGTATACGCCTAGAAATGCCTCTTACATTTTGGTTAATTGTTTCTTGCTAATAGTTAATTGAAATCTGAATACCGATGTGTACTTATCTCCTTGCCTTACATGCATTTAAAAATTTGCTATTTACCATTTACTAATTGCAAGTGAACTTTACTTCGAGTGGAATAGATTTTACAAAATCTAACACTACACTTAAACCTAACCCAAACCTTAACTTCAACCCAGAACCTAAACCTAACACTATCCCTAATGCTGTTCATAGTCAAGTTTTACATTAGTTGATAACAATTTACAGAGCTTAAGCAGAAGAAGTTTTCACCATGTTTTTATCATTGTTTGATGCTAAACTAACTGGAAGTAAGTCAGATGTGTTGTTGATAACGACATAATTATGTAATTAATTACATAATGTTATTACATATAAATAGTTATGGAATACAAATTGTATGTACAACAAAGCAAAAATAACTAGATTTCTGAGAGTTAAGACAAGTAAAGAATTGCCGCAATTTACAGCACAAGTAGTGAGATAAAAAAGACACTGCTAATACTAAATGATAAAAAATGAAAACGTCCAACTTTTTATGTCTTGAAGCAATTTTCACAGTAGTGCAACACAAGTCATTTGAACTGTAATGGAGGTGAGCTTGACCGCTGCAGCGTTCAGTTCAGTCCTCCATTTTCCACATCCAATTACAAGTTTACATCAACCTTCTTTCAGCATTATCTGAGCAGACATCAGGAATTAGTGCAGTCTTCAGAAATGATTAACAGGAAGTATTAATCATTAAAGGATTAAGACTCATGAACACAAAGTCTCATTCATTCCAGCAGATAAAGATGACAAGAAGGATAAGCCTTGTCTACATGTTTAATGCTGGGGGTTTCTGCTATATAGTATGCTGGCATTGTTCTAATGTGAATGTAACTATTCATCCTATTCATTTCTTCATGCTAAAGGCTGTAGATTGTGCTAATCCTGGCATCTTTGTAGAGCACAAAAATAGCATTTTTCTCACCAAAGTTTCATGTGCTACCGTATGTGTTGGGGCTGGGACTGTGGTGTTGTGATCTGGTGACTCAGTAGTAGAAAACAGCATACCATACATAACTTGGTGTGTATTCAGCCTGCTGAGTCTTGGATGTAATGAGTGGTTAAATTGGGAAGGAGCACTGAAGCGCATTTGATTTATGTTAAAAGACTAGCACAGCTCATGCACAATAATGTAACGGATATGTAAATCATTGCTACAGTCTTCGTAAAATCCGTTTAACTATTTCATGCCATAATAGTTAAATGGATTTCCTCTATACAGCCAGACAATGTCTATACAGCTACACTCATTCTACATCCTTCCTTTCTAACCCATCTGAAGCATAAACTGTGGATTACCATAATGTAAACTGGCAGAATAAAACTGCAAAATTTAAATAAATGGAAATTATAACCAGCTAATGCAGTTAGACAGAATTCAGAAGACCTTTGTGTGTATCTCCACAGTCATCTTGGGCTTCTTTGCGGGTGGAGTTTGCTTCACTAAGCCCTGCCCAGCTGCACCACATGCTGAGAGAGTACAGCCCACGCCGGCCCTCTCCATCCACCTGGACACCATCCAGCAATGAGGCCAGTGCAGCCCTGCATACTGGTGAGCAATAAACAAAGCTATAGTTCAACAGCCACAGAGGCAGCAGCCAAAATTAGAGCTCACAATGAGACAGAAAGATCTACACTGAAAGAAGTAAAGCACTGAATTTAATCATTTACATCATTTCCTCATTCATAAAATATATTACATCAGCATAGTTATTGCCAAAAGTAAGTAAACCGAAAGACAAAACTGTTTTGATATTTTGTTAATGTTGAATGCGTGAATGTATGGTACAACAGGCAAGATAGGCCAGCAGTGCTTTCCAGAATTACTGGCACCATTAGTGAGCAAAAAGCCATGAAAGATGCCTTTATTAGCTTAAACTTATACTGAAAAATGAGAGAAGTCTAAGCTTTTAGTAAAGTAAAAGTATTTAAAGAAGGAATCCATAAAAACATTTAACCCCCCCTTAAAGTGTAGACTTGTTACTCAGAAGTTACAATTATTGAATTGAAGTGGAATTAAAGTTTAAGGAATCAAGAGTTTTTACCTTTGTTTTTCCCATTTTTTTCAGGGCAAGATCAAGACATTCAATTAACAAACACATTTTCATGATCTTTTTTATGGAAGAATATCAGTATCAAAATTAAAATGTAATATGTAAAATGACAATGTGTTTGTATGTTTGCGTTTAAACTCATATGTGCAATGCTGAGTTTATAGCTACTCTTATGTTAGCAGGTGAGGTGAAGAGAAATATAGCCACTTGTGATGTTTAATGTCTTCATACATGACCTCATGAGAGAGTGTTTCATTGAACATGTGGAACAAGTTTTCAGATGTATCAATCTGGTTGATAAAAATGAGGCTCAACTTTGCTTTCTTCTCGCCAGCATCGCTTTCAGATTTTCCGGTCCACCTTAAGGCAGTTATATTGTGGTGCCTTGGTGTGCCCGAATGTTATAGCAGCACCATTTAAGGTGGAACAGAAATTAGAAAAAGAAGCTAACTTCAGCCTCGTTTCATAAACTGAGAGCAGTGGCTGAAAGTGAGGCCAGACATGGAGATTCCAGTTGATGCCTCAGAGGTGGATATATTGTTCTGCCATCAGCTCACCTGCTAATACGTTACGTGAATTGTGGAGAGCTGCAGAATTAAGCTGGCTAAAAACATTTTTAATGCTAGCTAAAGCTATATTTCCAAACAAGGCCACCATCTGCTGATTTTACCAGTTGCCTGACATGACCCAGCTCACTGTGTCACACTTACCAGCGTCCTTTATAATATTCATTTGGAAAGTAGAACATTACAGACTAACTGATTTCAGTAGAAATATGACGCGGTACTGACACAGTAACAGTAACAGTTGCCAACGCAGCCACTGCGACAAGGTGGTTGTCTGATTTACACATCTGTATGTAGAAGTACAATTACAACTAAATCACTTTACAAGCCCACTTCTGGTAATACAGCAATATATCTACATCTGATGTTCACTATTTAAGTTAGAAAACAGCCCTTGACGCTGGATTAATCTCTGTCTGCCGCATCTGTAGCCTACAGTCAGCTAACACAGACGACAGTTTCAACCAGCTGATTAAAACAGAAACATCTGCCACATGTTCCATTAAAGATTCTTTGTGGTTCCTGAATAAAGATGAAGTTTTCATCACAAAATTATACAGAGCTCTGATTCACTTCATCTTCTAAAGAAAGATGAGCCGCTATGTTTTCAGATAAAGCCTTTTACGGGCTGAGCATACTGTTAGCCTCACCCTGATGGGATGATTGACAGGTTGGGAACACCATGAAAATGCAATTTTAAAGGCATTTTCACACAGAATGAACACAGGAGGAGAGAATGTGTAATTGCAAAGAGAAGAGGCACTGTTTCCCATTTATGTATGAATTTTGCCCTCTTCCTAGCTTGCTGTTCTCTTTGAAAATGCTTTTAAATGCATTATTGAGTGAAAATGCAAAGAAAAAGTACATTTTAATTATCACTTTGACACAGTTATTGCATAATCACATTAAGCATAAATATGCAGTTCTGGAAATATGTTTTCGTTTAATTAAAGCTGCTTATAAAGCATTTAAAACTTCATGCAAATGAAATGTCACTACCAGTGCACCAAATTACAAATTAAAATCACAGTATTGAATTTGAATTTTGAGCTCAATATTGCATATATGAGTGGGAAATTGAAATGTAGACATACAAATACATTGCCATTTTACTTATTACACTGTCATTTTTTTTTTCATACTCATATGCTTCCATAGTTTTGTGCCCACCTAGTGTGACAGTAATTCTGGAAGGCACTGTTGGCCTATTCTGGCTAGATACCATGCACCCACTGACTTTGAGTTGTACCAGCAGAAGAGCAGTCCAGTTTGGTTGGACCAGTTTTGCTTTGTGTCCACACATCTGTGTGTGGGTGCATGGAGCGACTCTGTTTTGACTGTTGTGTAACACACAATGCCCCTTTTTTCTACCGTACTAGCTGATATTCTGCTGAGTTTTGATGACCACCCTCCTCTCATCCTGCCCATCGATGGCTTTCTGCTGGACTTAAAAAAGCTCATTGGAGAGACATCTCTTATAAAAGAGCTCAGCAGACTTCAGGCCATTATCAAGAAGCTTTATGACCCAGAACCAAGGGCGCACACCAAGCAGACTTCTCAGGTAAATTCAAGGAGAAAAATCACACACTAAAACACTCAAATGGAACTGTAACAGAAAAAAAATATGATTGGTTAAAGAGTCAGTTAAGGGAGATTCCGTTTCAAGACATGAATCAGTCCCCATCTGTGTCATATTGTGTAGCCCTTTCATTGCTTGTTGTTTATTTTGTAGTGTGAATCTGCTGTACCACTGGAGGCCAAACGCACCAAAATGGAAGTTCTCCCAAAAGCTCATCTGGAGCTGGAGCACACAGAGGTAGTGCTGCCTAAGGACAGTGTCCCAGCATGCTCTTCAAGATCAGGTCATCTGGGCACTTGTGAAGCCCTTCTCACTCAAAAACTAAAGGCTCTAGAGCTACAGAACAAGCAGACAAACTACAGTGGCAGTAATAAGCGCCTAGCACTGGACCCATCATGCTTGCTGACCCCTCCAAACACACCGCAGAGTGTGGATCTGGTGGAGTCAGAAACAGAGTTCCAGGAACCAGATTCAAACCACCAGACTGCAGAGTGCTGTGACACAATAAAACAAGTAGAAGGTAACGTATATCGCTGAAAGGATCCTGCATGTGCCTTTTTTTAATGAAGTCTGCATGAAACATAATGTAATGGGGCAGATTTACCAATGTAAGAGCAGATTTTGCCTAAATAATAATTTGACCTTTTTTCCCAAACAATTGTAAAAAGGACACACTGAATTTCTTTTAGCTGTGCAGTCAGTACTTCACTAAAGCTACTCATTGTAGCAGAAGTGTCACAGCCTTTAATGCACTGCAGGTAGCTTTGAGGTTACGTTCACCACCAGTTCAAAATCATACAGTTCCCAAACAACTGGGATGCACTCAGTGAAATTAAACAGAGATTTTACAGTATCACAGGGTTTCCAATGCAGCCTTCCCGGAACTCAGGTTCAGCTCATGCCTCCAGTTGATAATGAATGTGTTTTGAACCAAAGTGAAAATGATAACTTATTTTCTCTAATTTCTGAATTTTTATGTCAAAATAATAACTCAGTTTTTCTGCTTTGTCATTTTAGTAATTAGTAAGTCAAAAGTCAAAATCTCAAAAGTCATTATTTCAACCTAATGAGAGTTTGAACCTGAAACAAAAATTAACTTTTTTTTCCAACATCATGGAAACAGGCTTTCATGTAAAAAGCATGTGATTACATTGCGTGTGTGTTAATTACGAAGTTGCAGTTATATGTCCATCTGGCACAAAGTGTAGCAGTGGTGAAACGTGACTGTTAGAGCTAGGCCTTCAATTTGAGCCATAAAAGTCAGAACCTTTGTGAAAAAAACACCTCTGTTGTAATGCTAATTTCTGCTAGCATCCATATGAGATTATAGTGGTTTGTTAGCACTAAGCTAACAGCAATGAACATGAACATTTTTTGCCATTCTAGATTAAACACTAGATTCTAGATTTAAGCTTCTAATTTTATCTTGTAGCAGTTTCACTGTGACTCAGTAGGGAGGTCTCATATAGAGTTGCCACTGCTGTTTTCCATTTCTAACAACCCGCTGATTTGGCTGTCGCTCGTATTCACAGTCAGTGACGTCTCACCGCTTAAAAAATCGAAATGTGCTTGGTTGATTGCTCTGTCACTTTGTAATTATGCTGATAGTTAATCTAACACATTAGGCCTGCAGTCTAGCTCTTGAAGTCAAAACCAAAGGGAGAGCTCACTTAGCTGTGTCTACCTAGATACCACAGAGAAAAAGAATTCCTGACTGCCCAGTTTAACCATTTTGTTTGTATCACAAGAAACAAGAGTAGTACTGTAGTAGTTGTAGAGTTTAAATACAAGCATGATTGTACTTGATCTACCAGTGCTGTAGATTAAGTACACTCATCTTCCAGTTTATGCTCACTGACCACTTTATGAGCTCCACCTACTGTGTAGTTCAAAGACTGTGTAACCCGTCTGTCGTTCGCAATTTATCAGCCGTCCTCATGCTCATCCTAATTGGTCAGTTTCTGACCACAGGAATAATGTTGACCAGATATTACTTGGGTGGAGGACCATTCTCAGCTCAGCAGAGCAATGCCACTGGCATGGTAGTGTGTGTAGTGCTGGTATAAAGTGCAGTGTGTTTTTACGTGTCAGTGTCACTGCTAGGTTAAGAACTGTCCACCTGCCAAAAATACCTAGCTAATATTGGAAGAAACTGACCACTAATTAGGAGCTAAAGTTGGCTAACACAAACTGTGCATCAACAGATGCACACTAACACAATAGCGCTATTAGGTGGGTGTTTGTAATAAAGGGTCATGTGAATGTATACAGTGTGGAAAGCAAAAGCTGATCATTTGCAGTGTTACATATATTTTTGTTTCACAGTGAATGTGGGGTGTTTGATTTTGCAGGTGAATGTGAAAAGCATGAAGCAGGAGATGATGAGGTGTTTGTGGTGGAGCTGCAGAGGGGTCCCAGTGGACTGGGTCTGGCTCTGGTTGATGGGATGGTGAGTTTGACAATAAATTCTTCCACTGGGAGAATCTGGGCACTTATTTGTTTCAGGGATTTATGTGCTTTTTTGTACAACTTCTTGGTTACCTCTTTCGGATATTGGTTTGGATTTGAATGCAGGTTTTATAAGAATTCTGTGCCACTTGGAAAAAGAATCATACTCATTAAAGTTTTGTATGTTCAAATCAGATCACATCTGAATATCTCACTCCTTCCCTGAACTTCCTGCCATCTTAGGACATAAAAAAGTCTGATCAGTACAGCATCATTGCCAAGAAGCATAGTCTTGTTGTTTTGGACAATATCCTGATTATCACCTGACCTTATCCCAGATAGATGTGTCCAGTTCCTTACTAACCCAAACTATCGCAGCAAAATACTGAAAAGGCCCTGTTTTAGCTGCCATGCAACAATTCACGGAAATTTTTACACTGAGTTATGCATGTTGGGTAAATGGCTCCCCCTAGTGGTTGAGGAGTGAGCAGTTTTTAAAAGCTATTTCATCATCTACTGGGGCACAAGGGCAACTACTTCATCACTAGCTTAGCAGCAGTTTAGTCTCAGTTTCACACAGGGTAACTTCAGGGGTTCACCACACAGCTGCATGTTAAATTAAACCTGATTGCTCTGTCAAAACAAGGACGAGTCCACCTGATCTGCCGCTAAATGTTTGGAAAACCAGATGCACTGTCAAATTATGTCATGATCAGCCAAACTATAACAGAATGCTGTATAAAAAAGGACATTTTGTTATATAAATACTTTCAAATTTGTCAGTCAATATATTATATTGTCATTTCAACTCTAGTTGTAATTGTACACAAACATTCTGAAATGTCACCCTATATTTAAATGAAAAATTCTGATTTTTCAAAACAAAGATTAAAAAGTAATAGTCATTTTCCTACAGTTCAGTTACACTGTACACAATAAAAGCCTGTTTCAGACCTTCTTTTATTTCCATTGCTCAGTATTTTAAAACGCATCAACTAATACCAAGTAGCCAAAGATATTTAATAGCAATTTTTAAATGATTAGCCAACATGTGCCATACTTCACAATTTGACAGTCAATTGGGATGAGCCCCATGTCCTATAACTACAAAGAGCTGCACAGCTGACTGATGTTAATGCACACAGACTCCATACTGAAGATGCTGTGGACAGTGCATTCTGCTTAACTGTTCAGCCTTTCGTTTTCCCTTTTGTGTGTGTTGGGGTGGGGAATGAAGAATAAAATGCTGATGAAATGTGTGTCTGCTACAGTTTAATTTAGTCTCAATAATAGGGACAGCCTAAACACAGGCCATAACTTCTCTGAACAATACATTCTGAAAAAGCCTAATCAAGACTATTAACACTTCCTTCCTCAAGTTGAGTTTGGTACCTAAGTGTGTGTTTAATTAAGCAATATAGTCTTTACACTTTTTACAATTGCTAAGGAGCATTTCTTCATTGACAAGTTCCTTCTTTTCAAAGCAGAAACACACAGCTCAAAAAACAGCAGTTCATTTTATACTATAAATGCTCTACAGCTATAAAAACATTGCAGAAATAACTCAAAATAAATTCATTCCAGCAAAACATGAACACCAGTCTTTTTTCAACAGGGTACTTTATTGTGGCACAGTCACCTCAGAAATACTAGCAACCGTTGGCATTATAGTAGATCCTTTTTAGTTCTCAGTTCTGTCATATTCTGAAAACAGTTAACATATGATACTAAAAAGAGGCTTGCTGGACAAAATAATGCTTTTCTTTGCAAAAGGGTCAAACCTCCACAAAACACTATAGCATGACACAAAGGCAAGTTTTTCTATCAGACACTACAACTTACAGTCAGGGGAGTAAATTCCTTCAATCACTTACTAAACAACAACCAGAAACACCCCACAAAATACAGGTTTCAGTTTGACAGGTTTCACCAACATGATTTCATGTGGTAACACACTCATTATGTCAGATAAACATTGCTAATCAGAATGGTATAATCTTCATTGTATAGGAACAAATGAAGTAAAAGAAACAAAAAAAAAATCCAGTACTTTACATTATCTAGCAAAGAAAAAAGATCTAATTCTAAATGCTTTGCTTGTCTACATCATTTGGTCACATGTTCTCATCCACATCACACCTGATGTCCTCTTTTGCTTATACATGTACAAAAAAAACACATGGACCGTCTGTTGTGAAGAAAATAACTCCAGAAGTGACCCCCTTTTATAGACGGTCAGTACCTGAGTGGGACTTCAGCTCAGATGGGAATCAGCTGTGACTGGCCAATTTACATACATTCAATCACCATCTGTCTGTATAACCATTTTTATATGGACTTTTATTTGTTTTTCAGTGTGCTTGTGTACACACACATATCGCTGCTGTCGGAAGAAAACCTTGTATCTCCACTTTTGTCATTTTTCTGTTTTTGACATAATTTGAAAATGCCTGTTGCCCTTTACATTGTGTGTAAATTTCATGAAGAATGGACCAAAAGAAATGGTCCAAAATGCCTTGGAAAAATGTCTGGTTGCGTTGACTTACATTAAAAGTAAAGTAGTTTTTTTCCTGTAAAGTTACCATTTTGGAGATACAAGGTTTTCTTCAGACAACGGTGATTTGCAGTTTGAACTACAAAAATAGTTTTGTTAAAAGCTGAGACTGAGTGAGAAGAGAATTAAAGGATTTTGGGAATTGTGGTCACTGAATGCATACTGTATTCAAACATGGAGAAAACAGTTCATGGTTTGGTCCAAACAGTGAGTTGTTGTGCTGTTTGAGAAGTTTTGAAAAAGAGAACTTGGTCCTGAAAATGCTTGTTAGCAATCATATAAAACTGCAATTGAAACAAGCCTCAAAGTCCACAAAACATTAGGTATATAGGAGGTATATAGGCCTAAATAAGAGAAAATCTAAGCTGCACTTTACTGCACTGTACTGCAAGTACAAAAATCTTGTCATTGCCAGATCTGAGATAAACCTCATTTAAACCTAAGATACAGTGACATCCAGTGGCAGATGTGTGATTATTTTTAACCCAGCAGTTGGGTTTAGTTTAAAGAGGCAGAAGCACTTCTAAATCCTAAACCACCGCTAAGCTAACAGTACGAGTGCCCTATGGCGTCTGGAATTCAGAGTAAATGGCATGTAACAGGGTGATAACTGCTAAGAAGCACGGACTTAAAAAAAAAATGCTCTCATGCCGTCACACTAAAAGTACTCAAGTGTGACATCAGTGAGTCAGTGAGTCAGTGAGTGCAGTGCCATAGTTTGTGAAATAATTTGCTCTTTGTCCTTGTTTAACAGGAAACACCTTTACAAATGAGTGGGATTTACATTAAGACTGTGATCCCGGGGTCTCCGGCAGCTCTGAGCCAGAGACTGAGACCAGGTGATCAAATCCTAGCAGTGAAATGGCCACAGGCTGGTAGGAGTGGACTACCATATGTGAGTTGGCTTAAATGAACATTGTTCCCAAATATTACAGCAATAATTTAAATTAACTGCTTTTCAGCTGTTTTTGTTGTATTCAAATTCAAATGTTATTGCATCAGAATGGTATAATCACATCATAATTACACATTTAATGAAATGTATGAGTGCATTATTTTTACACTTGATTTACATTCTGTGTCGACAGGCTGGAGTCTGCACTTTTTCATTAGTTTTGATGTGAATTAATGAACTTTTCATCAAATTCAAAGCATAATAGTGTCTCCTTTTCTACTTACAAACACAAATGTGGTACTGATTGAAGGCGCAGAGTCAGCACTTCTGGCTGAATTTATCCATGTCTTTCGATGTGCTTTGAGAAATAAAAAATTATATTCTTTTGTTATCGTCTGTGATAACAGTTTCTGTGGGTGAACAGAATAAACATTTACTAAACAACACAGTGTTGAAACAGATGTTAAATATATTTATTCATCAGTGAGAAATGCTTTTAAAAATGAAGGCTAACCCAGTTTTTGTTTTTCTCTCTCTAGAGGCAAGGAGTTTATTCAGAAATCTGGGGAGAGGCCTCAGTTACTGCTTGCCCGGGCTGAAACAACTCAAAAAGACAGAATGCCAAAACGCTGAATGTGCCAAAACAGATCCCCTGCCTTACAAGTGCACTTTGAAACTGAACTGGGATAATGCAAAGCCTGTAGTGTCCTAATTTAAATCCACACTCTGTGATTTATGCCTGAAGATGATAAAGACTACAAGTTTTTTTGTTTAAAGTATTTGATTTTTAATGCTTTTTATATTGTATTTCTTTCTGCTGTTGACTCGTATCTGATTCTCTGATTCTTCTTTTACTTCAGAATCTGTTTAATGACTAACATGACCGTAATGTATTATGAATGATTATGAATCAGAAACACATTATGTGCCTCAGGACAGAAGGAATGTTTAATGACATTGATTATTACTCCGTAAACTCTCATCTGATACATCACAACAATAAAAAAGGAGTCATGTAATCTTAAATGTTTGGTTTTTTAGAGATGTGCGCTCTACATCATGAGAATCACTCCTCCTCCTGCTGACTCAAGATGGTATCTAAAAGGAAAGACAGATAGGTTTTTAGATTTATCAGATATTATCTTTGCTGTATCAATATAGTCAAACTTACTGAGCCTCTGTTAAGTAAACGGCTCTCCCAAGTGGTCGAAGAAGCAAACAATTCCCCATATTCTATATGTTTCTTATTGTCCACATTATTTCTTATTTTATATTTTTCCCTGGAGGCCACTTACAAGGCTTGTGTGGTTTTATGCACTAAAACAGGTGTAATTTTCAGCTTTGCATGACGTTTCTCCAACCTCTCTTTATCCCTTAGAATTAAAGAGGCTGGTTTGTTACTGTACCTTTAAAATTGACCTAAATGACCTAAATGAACTGAATGACCTCTGTTCTGATTGACTGTCCCATTTAGTGCCTAGAGGTAATCAGTATGAATTTCATCTTGGGTATTTCCTCCTATTTGGATGACCATGATATGATATCTTTAGTAGTAACAATAATAATAACAATAAAATTGTTGCTGTTATTACTATTACTGTTATTATTTAAAAAGTTGTCACTGTTATGTAAATGCTAACAGGCATTCTAGCAGTTTCTTGCTTTTATGAAACAAGTTTTTAGTCGCTCTACCTGTTTGTCTTTATCCTCAGATGCTTAGCGCTTGTTTAGCTTGGGGCTACTTCTCAAAGCAGGATTTCTCAGTTTAGCCTGATAACTTAAGCAGTCAAACCTGTCCAATAGGAAAACATTCTCATTGGACGATCCTCAACTTTGGACTAAAGTTATCTGGCTAACACCGAAATCCTGCTTCGTGAAATACTCCCCAGGTCTGTAAAACAATATTTAGCTAACAAAGGCAGCTCACTTTTCCAGGCTTGCTAAGTTTATCACATTATGCTAAGCCCCACCTGTCGGACAGGTTTTACGAGCTGATAGGCCCTTCCTTATCTTGCTCCACAGTTATATCTGTTTTGTTCAGCAGAGTGCAACAAACGATTGAAAAAACAAACAAATGGTAAAATAATAACTAGTGGAAACAAGTTAATGTTTTTATGATGCTTCATGTACATGGCAAACAGTAGACCTGCCTTGTGCTGCACGTGCTCAGTATGAAAGGCTACGCACCTGCTGTTTTTTGTCATACAAGGCCATTTTTGTTGGCATTATAAGAATTACTTAAGCTGTTCAAGCTGATGTTTAACCAGTCTTTGGGGGCAGGCTGTTTGTGGTTCACTGTTTTTGGGTTTGCTACAGTTTTAACAGTGTTCTGAAACCCAAATCATGAGACAACATTATATCTTTATTCACTTTTCACCTGAGTGGAACATTCAGGTCACATAATGTGAAAAATGTGAGTAGAAAATTGTTACATGACAGTTCAATATTTCTTTCTCAATTTAGTTCTGTAAACTGAAAAAGTGCTTTGAATTTACATGACTTAATGTTTGAAGTGGTGGCACAATAACATAACTTACATCAATACAGTAAAGGACAGCAGCTGCATTTGTTGATATATGTTGATTTTATTCATGTAGAATGAAATCAACACAAGACTAAAACCAAGAGGTGGGGAGGAGTGGGTGGACTGAAATAGCAGTACTTCCGATCCTGGCATTTCTTTTTTGAAATCAAGCCCCACAGGACATTTTTCTTTAAGCAGTAAACTGAATATACATAAGTATTACTCAACTGGTGGTGAATACTTTTCCTTCTGCGCTCTCCCTCTCCTTCACACAGGTACAGACAGACAGCCACATGAAACACAGTGAATGCTCTATCATATTTCCTTAACCAGTCGGTTTATATGGCAATTTATTTGAAGCCCCTGTCTACTAGTTTTCATGATTTTCTTCTACTATTATCTATACTTTTATGGTGTTTTTCCTATGAACTGGCAAAGAAAGAATATTGGTCTTTTCTGTTGAGAGATGTTTGAAATTACTTTTTCTGCTGTTTTCTGCAGTTCAATTTGAGTCAGGTGAGACTAACTCAAGGTGGCGCAGGTGACGTCAAGTCTGCCAGAGTACCAGAGTTAGCAATATGTAAACGTCAGCTACTCGTGTTCCTCTCTCTCACATAAAGTGACTGCTCTCCCGCTGCTCTGAGCCCCAGCTAAAACTCAGAGCAAGTAGCTTATTTAACCTTTTCAAAACTGGTTATGAAGGTTTATTACACTGTACTGTAGCTAGACACTGCTTCCTGCTTGTGTTGGTAACTTATAGCTGGATCGTACTATAAGCAATTAACCTCATTTACAAGAGTATGATAGATAGCGGTCCATCTTAAATGTAGGAATTAGAAAGCTAATACATTATTCCTCTAAAATCAAGGCTCACAGAGACCCCAATTACACCTGGTCACTTTATGCATCTTGAGTATCTGGACTGTGTCTGGATAAGGCCAAGCCACATAAAAATGCAAGGGTAAATGCAACCAAGATGCATTTAAAACATTAAATACAAATCGCTCACACTGCTTCAGGAGGTGGTCTGAAACCATGTGACCTCTGTTTTAGGAGCATTGTCCAGTTACAGATGTTGGTTAGCCTAAACGTTCAGATATCAGACATGATCTGTGTGTGATCTTCCTGTTATTCAATGAAAAATTAAGTAAAATGTAAACTGTGGTCTCTAAAATGACAGTTAGACTGTTTGTTCTCCACTTTGCACATTTACTCAGCATTCAGAGAGCAATCCAAAAGCAAAGTGGTCTATTTTCCTGCGAGCGGGCTCAAACGTGTACGGCTAGACCACACCAATTGGCAGTATCGCTCACCAATGCCACTCAAGCTGGGTGGCACTATTGTGAATCATTCTGCATTCCAATGCACCCACGCAGTCCTGATCAGCAGCAGCTCATACATTTTGGAGCATTTATCTACTAATAAATTGTATTCATTTGTATATATATATTTTCTTAAATATAACAATAGTAAACCATTTTACAGAGACTTTAACACAAATGCAAAGGCTCACACACACATTGGGCAGAAGGCCAAATGCAAAGGCTTTCAAATATCATTTTTAATATCCACATTTTACAGGTTTTCACTACAGAAATCACAAAAATTCCCCTTTTTATGTGCACAAGAATATTTAGCCCTCCTATCATGTTCTGGGTCAAAATTGACTATTTTCAGGTTTCAAAGTATTTAAGCTCTCTACACTATTTGCGGTTTAAGATACTGTTCTGGGTCAAATTTAAACCTGTAGTTCAGAATGGCAGTCGGAAATGCAGCAGATTGGGGAAACAGAGTACAGATAAAGTTTATTACAATTTGTAAGGATTTATCCACACGAACACACACACACACACACACACACACAGTTCTCTCAAAGTAGCTTTATTTTAACCAAATCAGCAAAAGCAAAACGGCAATGTCGCCCACTTTAGTGTGTTAGCTGCTCAAACCAAAATGACAAAAGACACACAGCAATGATGCCAACTTTTTACGTTCCAGCTGGTCTTCTCTCACTTCCCTTCTTCTTATCCAGCCTGCCCACAGAACAAAAGTCCACCAGAGAACCAGAAGCATTTCAACCCATTAACAGAAACAGAAAAACAGGCATGCTTCAATGTCACATTGCCCCCTCCTTAAACGTCAGCTGTCTTGGTGACCCACACAGTTTGCACAAAGACGCATCGCCCCTGCTGCGGTCTGCCCACAGCAAGGGTCTCAGAGTGTCTACTGTCTTAGTCAGCGCAGTCACCAGGGGGCATACTCTCCTCTTGCCCAGGTGCCTCCAACTCTTCTTCAGGGCCAGGCCCCAGGAGCGACAGCTCGACCCAGGCCCGGCATGGATTCCTGACAATCGGAGTGATACGGGGCAAGCCTATCCCTATCAACAGTCAGTCACCCTACATGGGCTCAATACACCACCTCGCACAGGCGCTCCTTGACCACGCAGGGGCCTTCCCCTGGGTGACCACTACTTGGGGCAGAGCCCCTTCCTGCACCATGGTTTGTACCTCCCGTCTTTACCTCCCTGGGGCCCTAAGCAAAACCACCTGGACCTCAGGCTCTTTAAACTGCATGACCAGGCCAATGAGGTGTGATCCATGTGCAGCATGAAGGGAACATAATACAGGTACAGGAACTGGCACAGCCCACCACAACAGCCAGCGTTACGCAGAAATTGTGTTCTTGTTTGCTCAACCACTGGCTGTAGTACGCAATACCCACAGGAATTCCAGTACTGGAGCTTCACACAGACGGGCCCGGAGGACAGCAATTGCACGCTCAGTCTCCTCATCCCAAAGGTAAACAGGAATCTTCTCAGTGAGCCAGTGCACTGGCACAGCAATTTCAGCGAACCCACACATGAAGTGCTAGTAGTATGAAGCCAAGCCAAAAAAGCAATGCAGCTCCCCAACGCTCCACGTCACAGCCCACTTGAGCATAGCCAGTGCATTCGGAAGGCTGAAGGCCATTACTGTGAAATGCCAAAGGCCAGTGCCCAACATGAACACTTTTCCATGGTGTCACCATTGAGCGAGTGCCACCTGCTAATAACCACTCTGCAGGTCCAGCTAACTAAACCATGCAGAGCCGGCGAGCTGGTCCAAGGCATCATTAATGCGTGGGAGCAAATACGAGCCAGGTTTAGTTACAGTGTTGAGCAGCTGGTAGTCCTCACAAAAACGCCTGTCCTTTTTCTTTGCAAAGACCCCTGGCACAGAGGATAAGCTGCTTGTGTATGCTGTCTACAAGCCCTGGAGATCACTGCTTACTCACCGCTGGCTTCTCTTTCACCACATCGTCATCTTCCTTGCTGCCTGCCACAGAGCACTTCGAGTTCCTGGGGAGCCCTTCTATTTCAGTGTCGAGTCCATCCCACTTCTGACACCAGTGTATTTCTATATACTATTTAGAGGTGTGGTATGTGGTTTGAGTGTTTTGAAGTTGGCATTGACACTACTGTATGATGTCAACTGAAAGCGGCAGGCGAAAAACGTTTGGGCATGAGTGCGATCAGGCTGCTGTTAAAGTAATTTTATAAAATTACAGATGTATTACAGCTTTTAGAACTTGTCCAAAAGGGCGCTATTCATTTTGAAAGAAAAGGGGGCAGGCTAACTGTCTCACTTCATCTACCTTGTTTCTTTTACCATTTTGCTTAAAATAAAGCTACCTTGAGAGAGAGATAATCAGGGGTGGAACCAAGGGGTGGCCAGGGATGACTCCAGAGGCCACTCCTTGGCTTTGCCCCTGAGTCCCTCTTAAGGTAGCTTTATTTTAACCAAAATAGGTCTCACCAACTTTGGCTTAACAGCTGCTTTAACCAAAATGAAAAAAGGAACATGACGTTGCCAACTTGAGTGTATTAGCTGCACGCTACAGTTTCTAACTAGTTGGCAAGTAGGGTCGAATGAAATTGTAGAATAAGGTATGACCACTGTCCAAAAAAAAAACAAAAACAAACAAGTATCTAATTCATTTGTCTACATCATTTGAACACAGCAGCTGTTCACTTTGTGTAAAAGTTTCATGATGAATGGATCAATAGAAGTACTCCAAAATAGCTGGGAATAATTTTACATTAACTTACATTAAAAATTTGCCCTGTCCTGTAAAGTTGCCATTTTAGAGATACTTGTTTTTCTTTGGACAGCGACAATATGTTCTAGCACTGTTCTGAGGTGATTTAGCCAAGTAAGGTCAAAACTGACTAAATAGGTAGGTTACAAGTATCGGTATATCTGACTGAAAAGAATGTTAGTGGTATCGCCCATCCGTAGAGGAAGGGAAATATGAGAGAGAGAGAGAGAGAGAGAGAGAGAGAGAGAGAGAGAGAGAGAGAGAGAGAGAGAGAGAGAGAGAGAGAGATCAGCGCTGAAGATTGAGAGGGAGGGGGAAGAAAGGAGATAAAGGGGGATTGTAGGGTCTTCACCAAACAACTCGTGAAGCATCTACAGGTCGTGTATTGTTAACCCTCTTGTGTTCTTAGTGAGCTGTAGGAAAATGACAGAAGCGGAGCTATATGATGAATATAAAGGGGTTTACGTGCCTAAACACCTCCACCCTCCTGAGAGCCTGAAATACTATGAGGACTTCACTTTCCGGCCGGACGACGTGCTTATCGTGACCTACCCAAAGTCCGGTAAGAAATCAGTGCCACCAGATATTTCAGCCAAGTACTTTGATTGAGAGACTGTTGTACAAAAAAACATTTAATACTGTGGAGTGGGCTTTGGAGCGGTTTTGGTTCAGATAATATCAGTCCTAGTCGAGCAGCACTGGAGCTGAGACTCTGGGTCAGGTTATGTTAACTTTACCACATGAACAGCAAGTCGAGGTCTAATATCACTGTAGCTGTTTCAGATGTGTTTCTGCAGGAAACGCCTGAGGCGTTTCATTCACTGCACTAGCAGCACGCCAGTTTTACTACTTGCTGCAGCTGAGAAAGAAAGAAAACCTCTAATTAAACCTCTTATCTAAAACTCCAACTGAACCACATTACTGGGTGAATTAGCAGCTTGTTTTGGTTGCTCTAGGTACGACATGGCTGCAGGAGATTGTACCACTGGTCCTCAGCGATGGAGATCTCGCCTCGGTTCGGACTGTACCAAACTGGGACAGGGTACCCTGGCTGGAAGAGCATCGAGCGGTTTTGCTGAATCTGGAGCAAAGACCCTCGCCTCGAGCCTTTGCCACCCACTTTCACCATTATATGATGAACGAGTCGTATTCCAAAGTGAAGCCAAAGGTGATTTTGTTTTTGAGTGGTCAGTTGACTGCAGACACCCCTCTCTCTGGGCATATAGTCTCTTCCATACCGTAACTCCATTTGACCATGAAAGCTTAGCGGGTGTTATTGAAGCTGTGACTGAAAAGGCAAAGTTACAGGCATTTCCATGAAGTTTATATCCTTATAATTACTAATATAAGAAAAAATGCACTATTTTTTGTTTAGAAGAAGAAAAAACTCTTGAAAAAAACAAGAAAACCTTGGATTTTAAGATTTATTTGAAAACTTCAAAAAGCATTTCATAAATATCTATATTGGTAACATGAATGTACTTAAATTTCAAGTACTTACTTTGATTAATACCTTGGCAAAAAGGCCAAAGGAAAAAGTCAATTTTTAAAGAGTTTCAAGGCCTACAATGAACTCTATTTATGAAAAGTGCCTACAGCTTTAATGTTACCTTCCATGTTTTAATTTTATTCACCAGATCATACTGTCAGCAATTTCCTTTTAAATCTTAAAGATCAAAGTCAACTTGAAATCAAAACTGGACTACCATTAAAAAGACTAAATCCTTTGATTGTAATGTAATAACTTTTGTCCACCTAGAAAACATCTTTTGAGTTTTGATTACATCACTGTGCACCAGCAGGTGGGGAAAAATAATATTAACCATTGTATCATGTTTCATCTCCCTCTCCCACCACCACCATCTATCATCCTAGCTCAGAGACCTTCCCTAACAGACAGGTCTGCTACCTCAACTGACTGGACTCCCTCTAAAACAGAATGTTTGGATTATGATGCTGGACATTTAGTCACATTAGTCAATATAGGCCTACAGTTAAAATGGAAAGCGTGATAACACCTTCAATTATTTTCCAGGTCATTTACGTAATGCGAAACCCCAAGGATGTGTTCACGTCTTCCTTCTACTACTATGGAATGGCTTCCTACTTGGTGAATCCAGGCACTGCTGACGAGTTCATGGAAAGGTTTCTAAACGGAAAAAGTAAGGCTTCATGTCATATTCTCCTCACACGTTAAACTTTCCCAGGTCACATTATAATCCATGCTCTTATTATATGCCACCGTTAATATTAACATTTTCAATGTTCACAGTAATGTTTGGTTCATGGTTTGATCATGTGAAGGGATGGCTGAACGCTAAAGATCAAGAGCACATTTTCTATGTTGCTTATGAGGAACTGATACAGGTGAGTTCATTTTGCATATATTTGTATATATGTATTAGTAATACAGTTTCAGATGCTTGACACCTGACTGCTGACTCTCTAAAGTTGGCAAAATACTGGAGAAAATTTACTTTTGTTTCTGTGCTTAAGCATTATTTTGGAAGATATGCTTGAGTATTATTAAAACCCAATACTTAATACTCATCAAAATGTATATGTATATGAGCATACAGGTACATTTTTGGCTCCATACCTCCTCTTTTGACTGAAAAAGACTTTGAAAAAGTACTGATATTTTCACTTAAGTATACTTTTCCTGTGTGTTTTACACTGTCATCTCTGAGACTGTTTTATGTCATCATAACTTCATAAACTGCAGGATTTGAAAGGATCTGTCTCAAGAATTGGCCAGTTTCTGGGAAAATCTCTAAGTCCAGAAGTGGTCGAGAAAATAGCCGAAAACTGCGTTTTCAAAAACATGAAGCAGAACAAGATGTCCAACTACTCTCTGGTTCCGGAAGAGTTCATGGACCAGAAGAAATCAGAGTTTCTCAGGAAAGGTAAACTTCCATACGGAATACAGTCAATAAATTTCATTTCTTTCCCAGGACTCCTGCAGCTGCTGTGCTTTTGGTACAAACCTTTAACCACTTTCATGCTTTGTGTTGTTTGTCAGGAGTTGTTGGAGACTGGAAGAACCTTTTCACAGAGGCCCAAACACAGAGATTCGATGCTGTGTATAAAGACAAAATGAAGGACGTGAAGTTTAAATTCGCCTGGGATTAATGGAAATCACTATATCCATATAACATTATATAAGTGCCATTACGATGTTATAACTGCACAGGGAATTTTGTGCACTTTCTTGATAGTGTGCAAGTGCAATGTTCTCTTAAAACACTAGATTTATGTTCAACTTGTTTCAGGTACAGCTTGGCGTTGGTACAGAGATTAAAATAGTCATTATCTGACTCTTATGGCATTTGTTGTTTATTCTATAGAACATGTATAACAAAAATGTTCGACACTATGTTTGTATGATGCCAGTAAGGCAGGCACCAACTGAACCAGTGTTCACAGGTTGAGTTAGTAATGAACTGAACCACCTCTACAAGATGCCCAGCATACAGAAATGGGCTTTTAGAATGAGATTGGGTTTTTAGTATGCGAGACTGGGTGCAGGATTTCTGTAAACAAACAAAGGTTGGGTAGATAGCAAGCTATTTGTTCAATGTGTGTTCAATGTGTGTCAATTATACCTCACTAAATACTAAATTTCCTCATTCTAGTAATAGGTAGTGCTAAGACACATGAAGAAAATGTGAATTTGGTGCTATAGTGCAGATTCTGACAGAGGGAGCATAGTGAAAACCACTTGGCAAACTCATCAACTGAAGAGCAGCTAGTCTACCATGTTTAGCATGTTGCTAATATAGTAACACAGTGGTATCTTCCAAAAAAAAAAGTCAAACAACAGCAGATCACAGCCAATGACTAACCATAGAATCTGGGTGTATTTAGCCAACTGCTGGCATACATGCCAAAACCAGAGCACAATTAGCCAGTGATGCCAACTTAGCAGTTTTGTTGCTAGGTTTAGCAACTTTTAAGACTACCTTGCGATTTTTTCTCAAATAGCACCTGTCAACAAATTTAGCTACTTTGCATTTATTTTTTTATCAACTTTTGAAAAGTGACTGAAACTTTTTGTACTTATAATTGCTGATCAGTTAGCTAACATGTTAGCTAGCTGCCAATACACCTTATAAAACCATTTTAATTGTTCAGAATGTGTATTTTTACTAGTTAATAAGAAAGTGAATAAAATGTCATTGTTCAATAATACATAATTGGTTATTGTTCAATAATTCAATGTATTGTGTATAAAAATAAAAAGAAATGTGATCATAAAAATTGTGTTGTATTTATATTACTTTTACAAATAAAAATATGTAAACAAATCTAAATTTACAAATTAATTAATTGGCTGTGTTTGTTTTCGACTAGCCTGATGAACTGCCAATGACTGCAGGGGTGCTGTTTAAAAACATGCCCTTGTTTTTATACCCCAAAGAATGTGCCCTTGTTTTTATACCTTGTTTTTATACCCCAAAGACAAAAACGAAAAAAGAAGCAATAACTAACATAACAAAAACTTCTGACAACACTGGAGTCTGTTATCCTGATCGCTATTCATGGTATTCAGTCTGTTTGTTGTTGCCAGGCTCTTCTGAAGCCTCAGTGTAGGTCTGTTGTGAAACTCTTTGAGATGGGATGGTTCTGACTCTGGTTTGGCTGTTATATTAATACCACCCAAAAGCAACGATTTCATCATGTCACTCTTATAAAAACTTAAGAAGGTGAGTGAGGCCATCAGGAAGAGCTCTAATCAAGCAGATATATTCTTCAAAGGGGACAGGAAAGTCATGTGTAGCCATAAGTTGCTCATAAGAAAACACATTTCCAGATTTGTGAAATATAGAAACAAAATTGTTCATATTTTTTTGAAACCATTTGGAAGAGAACAACACTTTATTTCTAACAGTTATTTAAGAGTTATTCCATAAAAGGGAAAAAGTGTGGGCAAAGCATAGTTTCCAGGCAAGGAGAGCTTGAAAAAAAAAAATTTGGAAAGAGAAACTGGGAGCTTATAACAAATAATTACATGTCAAAAATAAAGATAAGCCACCAGTCTTGTTAAAAAATATGATTGGGAATAAAAAAACACACTGTATTTGGGTTTATAAGCCAATTAATTCTAAGTGTATTTATAAGGTCAATAAAATCTAATATTTCTAAACCACCTTCTGCTCTACTATTACAAATCACAGTTTTTTTAAGCTTGTGTGACTTATTATTCCAGATAAAGTCCAGAAATATTTTACTGATTTCATGAGCAGTTGAACCTTGAAAATAGATTATAGTGAGGGATATATGAAACGTGACAGACCCTCAGCCTTAGATCATAGAACTCTTCACTGCTAGAAATAAAGGTACTGCACAGGGACATTTCTTGTCAAATTAAAGTACCAATAATACAAATGTACCCTCACAAATTTGTACCTTTTCATAATCTAACGTTTTAAAACAACAACAAAATAAACATATAAAATAAATAAATATTAAAATAAAAACAAATATAAAATATAATTTCAATGGATTTTGGTACAGTTATGTTCCCTGACTAAAGGTACTGAGATGTACCCTTGATGGTACCACCCCAGTCACAATAGGAGTACTGCTACACTGACAGTTTAGTACCTTTTCTGAGAGTGAGCCATATAAAGATAAATATCTCTGAAGCCTCTGAAGAGGTTAAATATATGCTAGATGGGTTCAAAAGCTGTCTGGCTGTAAGAGTTTTGGTATTATAAATGCTGAGATACTTACCAGTGTTTTACCTGGAATCTGTCGCACCAAGATATCAGAACAGCCACGAAGAGACATTATTTCACATTTGGCCTTGTTCAGTTTTAAACCCAAAGCTTGAGAAAAATGCTCAACTAAGATTCCATTAACAAAGCTTTCACAGCTTTTCTCATCTAAATAAGCAGCATAAAAGTTGCCATAAAATGAAGTAACATAATTAGATATTAATTTAGAATTTATACACTGAACACCATCAGCATTAAGCGATCTTCTCTTACCATTTCCTTTTTTGAGAGCAAAGAAAAAGTTCTTTTCCCTGCTTCCAGCCATTTGGCTCTAGAGCTTATGAACGCACCCTTGCCAGGTCCAAATCAATCTGATTTATCTGCAGATTGATTTCTTTTCATTCTAATTTCTCTTCATCAGACATTTTATTTTTACTTAATAAAACATTGATCCTCATAGACAATTCTGATTCTAATTTACTTCTCAAGACTTTCTACTCCTTCTCCAAACAGCAATATATCTGGCCTTACATTTAAAATATTCCTATTTTTTGTGGTTGCTTTTTGTAGTATCAGCAAAGCTTTCATGGATCTTTTATTAAAACAATCATCCTTCGAAAGAGCATTATGAAACTTCCTGGATGGCAGCCATTTTCAACAGAAGTATCACAGACACGTCGATATGATTTGAGGGAAAAACAGACACATTATGACCAAAAACTCCTGTGAATATTGATTCGGATAAGTATGAATGTGCCGTGCTATTCTAGCATATTAGAGGCTAACCGTGGGTCAGGACAAAATAAGGCCAAAGTATACAAAAACATTTATAAACAAAGGGGATTTTACTAACGTCAGGATTAAAACAAGGATCTCTAAACAATTCAATTCTCAAGTATAGCCATTTATTTTGTCATTTAATTTAATCAAAAAAGGAATGGAAGGGAGGGGAAGGTCAGAGAAGTTGTTTATGTGAGCTCATGGATCTCTGACTGACTGTCATGGCAATGCAAACCCAGACTGCATGAGCATTGTATAGTAAACTGTATGCATAACAGATGAATAACTGTGTATTTTGTGCTAAAAATTTCAAATAAAATGATAAAATCCACAAGCAAGATATGGAGTATTAAAATGTCCAAAATTTGTTACAAATAGTGAGTTAAATCAAATTTCTGTTTTCAAAAAGATTTCTACTAATTTTCACTCTTTCTGATATATATTTATTTTGTCAGTTTTTGCTTAATTTTTTTTTCAATTTGCTGATTTTACTGATATATTTAAATATATTGCTTCTAATGAGGCTAATGTAGCTAACAAGTGGAAATGGCATGCCTGAATCACTACACACTTCTCTTTCTCTCACTCTTTTTAACACAAATTGCATCAAGTAGTTAAGCAGTTTCAAGTAGAACTGTTGGAGAGTTGGTCCACTGATAGCAAAACAGCTTTCCCCAAACATCCTAACCACAGCGAGGTGGAAGCCAATGACATGACAGAAAATTTGTGGTGGCATCTGGGGTGGCCAGTCAGATTTTTGGGGCTGGGGAGGGCACTGGCGATCTCTGCCACCCCTTTAAAATCATGGATGTTGCCCAGGCCGATGATGCGGCACAGCTTAAATCGGTCTCATTTTATTTGGATAGTCCACTATAGTCTTCTATAGATTATCTACAGATGTTCAAATTGTTAACAAACTATCTGTTAAAACTCAGTTGAGTCTAAACAGAGGTGGGGTTAGGGTTAAGATTTGGACCAGGGTTGGGGCTAGGACCAGGTTGAGGGTTGGGTCTAAGTTTTGGGTTGAGGTTAACGTTATGGTTAGGATTAGAGATTAGGTTTGGAGTTAAAGAAAATTATCGTCTGCTTTTGGCACTTTTTAACTGGGGTTTAGAAGAGGGCGTTCACCTGCACTCTCTATTGGTCAACTGATTTGAAGGGACAGGTTCTCTGACATACAGCCACTCAGCATGAACCACCCCCAGCACAACATGTAGTACTGAGTGCTGCGTTGTACTGGCGTATTCCTTTTAAGTTATAATGTATCACTGGTTAATGGGTCCTGTGTCAACCTGTGTAAAACTGTTATTTTGAGCAATAAAAATCTAGTTAAACGTAGTTGTTTATGAATGAACTTAGTTGTTTATGAATGAACTTAGTTGTTTATGAATGAACACGTCCTATGAAGGATGCAGCCCCTAAATTGGGAGACACTGCTAGTCTGCATGTGTTACAATAGCATGGCTGTGAAACAGTGAGTGAACGTGCTTGACTGGCCGTCCAGAACTGTCTCCCAATGAAAAAAATTTTTGCATTATTAAGCTCAAAACGCAACAACAAGCACAGCTGTTAAAAGGAAAGGTTCTTTAACACACTGGTAAACATCCTCCTGTTCCAACTATTTGGAACATGTTGCATTGTATATTTACACACACACACACACACACACACACATTTTCTAAGCCGCTTATCCTTCGGGGGGAGCTGGAGCCTATCCCAGCAGTCATTGGGCGGAAGGCAGGAAACACCCCGGACGGGTTGTATATTTAAAATGAATGTATAAAACAACATTGTTCATAAGGTATCACATCAAACCATGTTTTGTACTGCTTTCATTTTAATACAGGTCAAACAGAATTGACCAATCCCTGCTCTCTGTTTTCACTGGAAGTTTTACATGCTGTCCCAACTTTTTTGGAACTGGGTTTGTACTAAAACATTTTCATAGTTTTCCATGATTAAAAATGGTTACTACTGACTTTGGCGTAGCACCATAAATGTCAGCTGTGTTCTTCATTAGCCAACTGTGCAGTCGAGTGAGACTCATTTCTCAGCTGTTACCTCACTGAAGGCTGTTTTGTTTTTGTCCTTCGTATACAAAATGCACCCTTAGTTTCTGAGAAATCAACCCCTGGCGTATCCTTAGAGGCCACAACACTTGATAAATAGCAGAAATAGCTGCAGGTTGTAAGATTCTGTAGTTTGTAATGAAATGTAAATTAATGTAAAGTTGCATAAAACGCTTCAAAACATAAGATTTTTATGTTGTGTTGTATGTTTTTATTTTTTATGTATGTGTTGCATTGTTTACATCAGTAAGCTGTGACATTTCACAACAGCCTGCTCAAAAGTGTGTGGGTGTTAGAATAAAAGTCCTTTGTTTTTGGTTGCGCTGCATGACATTTGAGGAAATCAGAATTTACTAACAAAATTTTTGCAATTAGTTTGATACTTTTAAAGCTTCTCTATTTTTCAATGTCAAATGATTTTAAATGTTTGAACACTATTTCATTTAGAATCTTATAAGACTAAATGACCTCTTTTAATAGTTCACTTAATCTGCATACATGGTTGGACCACCTGACATTTTTACACTTTGGAAGAAAAATGATTAAAAAACTTTATTTTGTTGCAATGAAAAAGTATTCATCACATAAATGAGGCACTGTAGAATGATGTGATATGCCCAGTGTTTATTCAGTTATTTAATAAAAAATAATGGGTTTGGATACAAAAAATGCTTGTCACGTCACTAATCCATACAACAAGAAGACGGTGGGAGATTTTGAGATTTGTCACATCTTTACTGTCTTAGTGTTGTGTAAACAGCTCCTCCAAGTGGTTAAGGGTGGAATGAGCGAACAAGCAAACAAACAAATAAACAAATGGCCATTACTCTGCATTTTACTTGTATGAGGTTTGTGTGGTTTTATGCACCAAACGCAGTTGTAATTCATTTGTACCAGGCCATTCCCCAACCTCTCTTTCTACCCTAGAACAATAAGCTGTTTTTGTTGCTGTGCCTTTGAGACTACTATATGTAAACAGGCTCTGCTCTGATTGACTATCCAAGTAGCATCAAGTCTCTTTGGTTTCAGTGAACTCCATCTCATTTCTGACCTTGGCATTCCAGTATCCCATCACCAGCAGTATGTCCTGTCAGCAGGTCTTATCAGTTTCAGCCTAAGCTTCAGCATAAAACTTTTTGATTTCTTCTTCATTTGCGTCCATAGTTGGGGCATAAACCTGTATGACTGTAATTCTGAATGGCTGGAAACAAAAGCGGATTTACTTCTGTTAATTATTCACAGCATTGTATCCAATAACGGTCTTGTTGACATCCTTACTAACAATGAAAGCCACTCAGTTTCTTCATTGTTGTTCATGACCTGAGTAACAGATGGGGTGCTTTTCTGAAAAGTGTCCTAATCTCTGATCGCTCACAACTTCAGTACCTAGACATCCAGAAGGCTTTAATCTAGCGGCATCATATGCACAAGCTGCACTTGGAGGAATCCTTATCTCTTCATTGAAATGATAAATGCCTTCCTTCCTGAGGGCCCCATCTTTTCAACAGTTATTCTGTTGTGCCTATCCATGTGCAGTTTGCAGCATAGTTTCCATATATGGACTATGGACTGGAGGCTATGGGCTCAGTACAAACTACTACAACAGCACTGATCACCGCAACACAGGTGAAAATTTTATTGTAATTAAGTTTTTTCTTTTTCCCTTAATTAAAGTAAAAAAAAAACAAAGTGGATGTCGTCAACAACATGACGCAAAACTGCCATTCTGTAAGATCAGTGGTGTATTTATCTTCTTATTTTTTAACTAGTTCTTCTTCCAATTTAGACTCACACCGAATAAATGGTGCTTTGACTTTGCATGATTCAAATGTGTCAAGTGGTTGCACATGTATTATATGTAGGGTTGCTACCCATCCAGGATTTCCCTGCATTGTTTACTTTCTTGGTTGCTTGTCCAGGAAAAAAATAATTCCATTCCTGGGCACAAAATGTCCAGGAATATAAGTTTTCAAATATTACATATGGCACAAGTGTTTGGGAAAGGTGCACTGCTGGTGACATATTTAGACACTAGGCAGCACTGCAGTGTGGTAAGTGAGAATGTTATGTTCTGCAGCTGAACTGGTATCTGTCTACCCTTGACTATAGAACGAACGGAACTACCTATGCATTGAATTTAGCAAAATCACGCCACTTGTTGAATGTCCAGTAAATTTACAGGACTGAGCTGGCAACCCTAACAACATACCTAACATCAATACAGTTCCTGCCATAAACTTAGAGACAGAGAATTTATTGATGTAACACGTTTTGTTGATATGCACTTGCCATTTTTTTAGTGTAAAACAGAGACAGAAGCGGAGGAGAGAGAGAGAAAAGGAGCGATAAAGCAGCGAGGGGAGGGGGAAAGAAACTGAACCAAACAGATCGAAGTTCAAAAAAGGTTGTTTATTATTAACCCTCCCTGCCTCTCAGTGTTCTTAGTGAGCTGTAGGAAAATGACAGAAGCGGAGTTATACGATGAATATAAAGGGGTTTACGTGCCTAAACACCTCCACCCTCCTGAGAGCCTGAAATACTATGAGGACTTCACTTTCCGGCCGGACGACGTGCTTATCGTGACCTACCCGAAGTCCGGTAAGATCAGCTCCAGCCACCAAAGAGATGTTTTTTTTTTCCCAACATTTTTGCATGTATATCAGTTATTAAGATCGCATTCAAAGAGGTGTGATATGGAATGCATCTAGAGAAACTGGGTCAGATCATGTAAACTTTTGACCACATGACTAGTAAGTTATGGGCTAATAGCACTGTAGCTGTCTCAGATGTGTTTCTGCATTTTATTCACTGCACTAGCAGCACGCCAGTTTTACCACTTACTGCAGCTGAGAAAGAAAGAAAACCTCTAATGTTCTTAAATAAATGTACTCCAACTGAACCACATTACTGGGTGAATCTAGCAACTATGTTTTTGTTGCTGTAGGTACGACATGGCTGCAGGAGATCATACCACTGATCTTAAGTGCCGGAGATCTCTGCTCAGTTCAGACTGTACCAAACTGGGACAGGGTACCCTGGCTGGAAGAGCATCGGGCAATTGTGCTGAATCTGGAGCAAAGACCCTCGCCTCGAGCCTTTGCCACCCACTTTCAACATTATATGATGAACGAGTCGTATTCCAAAGTGAAGCCAAAGGTGATTTTGTTTTTGAGTGGTCAGTTGACTGCAGACACCCCTCTCTCCTTGAGTTTAATAAGTGATTTTTGTATAATGTATTTTATGTAGTGCAGAACTACATCCCTTTACAACCCAGCAATGTTCTCTCACTACAGTACCTATCATGCATTACGCAAACACATCATATGATCACAGATGTGATATTCATCTTCCTGGCTGAAATGTTAACTATCTGGCTTTCTTTTGCATTAGCCAGCTATCAAGGGGAAAAAACATGCTTATGTATCTGCTTATTGTTTTTAAAGTTCCTCCAACCTTCAAGATACATCATGAATGGGGGGTTTTGTAGTCTTTACCAAAAATTTCACTCTAGAGACCACATTACCACTGTAAGAGATAAAGAGCAGATGGAGCGATGGTTATACGTTTCATTTTGGCCAACATGCCCTTTAAATTACACTCGATCTCGTGTCTTAAGCTTAAGCTGAGATCAGTAAGGTATTTGGGTTGTTGGGTGTGTGTTACACAGGCCTACCTGCCCTCTACTGACCAGGCTCCCTCCAAAAACTAATATTCAGAGCAGGATTCTGGACATGTACTCACGTTAGTCACATGGGCTTACAGCTCAAAAGGAAAGCAATTAACAATAATAACTCTTACATCATTTTCCAGGTCATTTACGTAATGCGAAACCCCAAGGATGTGTTCACATCTTCCTTCCACTACTATGGAATGGCTTCCTACATGGTGAATCCAGGCACTGCTGACGAGTTCCTGGAAAAGTTTCTAAATGGAAAAAGTACGTCTTCATGTCATATTCTCCTCACACGTTAAACTTGCTTTCTCAGGTCATGGTCTAAGCAATGTCTTCATCAACTCACAAAGGTCAAAGTGTAAAGTATAGGTCCTAATTCTATTTGTCTGTCATTTCACAACCCACACCTATCAAACAGTTTAATTATATGTAATAAATTGCATGCAATATCTCGGTTGCTTCAGATGAGATTACACTCCAGTGTGAACAAACAAACAGAGGAAACTCTGAAGGTCACAAAACCAAATTTAGCTATACTTGTAAAATGACAGATTTCATTCTGAGTATTGCTTCCTGCATTTATTCTTCACAGCAATGATAATACTACAACTACTTATGTATTTACCTTTGCCACATTAATATTAACATTTTTAATGTTCACAGTAATGTTTGGTTCATGGTTTGATCATGTGAAGGGATGGCTGAACGCTAAAGATCAAGAGCACATTTTCTATATTGCCTATGAAGAACTGATACAGGTTAGTTCATATTGCATATATGTGTATATATGTATCTAGTAATGCAGTTTTAAACTGTATTACTAACAGTTATTTTCATAACATGCTTGTTGGTCCTCTAAAGCATGAAGTTTCATCTCTGAGACTGTTTTATGTCATCATAACTTCATAAACTGCAGGATTTGAAAGGATCTGTCTCAAGAATTGGCCACTTTCTTGGAAAATCTCTGAGTCCAGAAGTGGTCGAGAAAATAGCCGAAAACTGCGTCTTCAAAAACATGAAGCAGAACAAGATGTCCAACTACTCTCTGGTTCCGGAAGAGTTCATGGACCAGAAGAAATCAGAGTTTCTCAGGAAAGGTAAACTTCCATATGGAATACAGTCAATAAAGTTAATTTCTTTCTCAGGACTCCTGCAGCTGCTGTGCTTTTGGTACAAACCTTTAACCACTTTCATGCTTTGTGTTTGTCAGGAGTTGTTGGAGACTGGAAGAACCTTTTCACAGAGGCCCAAACACAGAGATTCGATACTGTGTACAAAGACAAAATGAAGGATGTGAAGTTTAAATTTGCCTGGGATTAATGGAACTCACTATATCCATATAACAGTAGTGCCATTATGATGTTATAACTGCACAGGGTATAAAGTTTGATGGTGGCTGAGTACGCACACACACATACATTATATATATATATATATATATATATATATATATATATATTTATATATATATATATATATGTTGCATCATCAGGTTGTATATGATGTTTATGGTCATTTGGACTTTGTTGAGCTAAAACTAGAGAATGTGTCCTTGAACGTTGTTATCCATATTGTTCCATGCTGAGCAAGTTACTACTTATGTGATAACACTGAAGGATGTCAGAAGTTGAAGGACATGAGTTTCCTCTCTTGGCTTTCTTGGTTGGTATATGATTGTGTTTTGTTAAATATGGCAGTGAACATTGCAACAGTGATGTACAGCTTTCCCCACCATGTTTTTAAAACCATTAGGCCTAGATTGTACTGTACCATTTTTATTGTGTTTTACAAAACACAGAAGAGATCATATAGAGATTATATAGAGTTGTTGTGCTTTTAGCTATATTGTTGACATACAGACTCTCTGGCACTCTCGGCAGAAACGCTCTTCTTTTAATGGCATTAAAACACTGAATTTAATGTTTCTGTGCTTGTTGATCTTTTTTATTTTTTCAGTGTTGCCTATTTGAAGATTCTTGTAACAACAAAACAGAAGTTGAGGGTTAATTTTTTCCTCTCAGTTCAGGAACACAATAAAGCATCAAAAACATTTCCACTTCTCTCAGATAACTCACACATTTCAACCAGAGACGGGCAGATTTATCAATATTCCTCATGATTCTATTTGAGAATTGATTTTCACGTAGATATATCTTTGACTAATAATCAGAATATTCAGTTTTTAATTGATACTGATAATTTGGCTGCTTATTTAAGGTATTTAAATGCTTTTTTGGTGCTCGCATTTTCAGGTTAAGATTTCCCCCTTTTCCAGTTACCCTGCTAGCAACCTCTTCCATGTCATCTCAGGATCAACACAGCCAGCCCTGACTGCACTATTTTAAGATAGCTAATTTAGCTGTCCCTATTAAATATTGGAATATTCATGCCACACTATAAAAATAGGAAAACTTGTTTCGACATTTTATTTTTAAATCTGCCAGCAAAATCACCAGTAGAAAACTGTTAGATCACTTTTTTATGACTTAATTAATCATGGCCAGTTCCCAGACTAAAAAAAATTTACATGATTCATGAAAATTATAACTGACACGCCTCTCACCCAATTACAATCTCTAATTACATCTCTAAACATTCCTTTCACCAAGTGAAAGAACAGCTTCCCAAACTCACAAACCTTAAAACAAACCAGCAGTGAGAACAGCGGTGGCAGCAAATTAGCCTGGACTATTAGAGCAGGAAAGGATGGAAAGATGTTACTGAGGATCAGATAATGCCTGACACATACAATCCTGGTCATCTGGATGGTAGTTCTGTTTTAATTTCATTTCTGAAGTTGAAGAAGTTTTGCACTGAACTCTGTGGAAGACCAAACTCACAGCTCAGTGCCAAACTATTAACAGACGCTAAATGCTAAGGTCAGTTAGTAACAAGTTAGCTGCTAATTTAGCTGCTGACAATTAGCTTAAATCAGTCAGATTAAGCTGGACTATACATCGCCCACTTTTGTGATTAAAAACATTCGGTGTAACATGAATATTAATGTGCTTGTACAAATGTCGTTCTTTGTACTGTTTTATTGAAGTTTACTAAAAGGTCTTGTGCAACAGATCATGAGCCCTCCTCAGCTTCTAACATTGCTCTGATTAGCTCCATTAGGCTTAGTGTTAGCTCATCTGAAGGGGCAGCTTCTGTCACTAAAACCTCCTCTTTATCAGACCAGTGGAGAGCTGAGTTTCTGGTTTGATTCATGTAATCATGACTTTCAGAAATCATTTTTTGTTCACTTTAAAGTTTTAGTCAAGAGTTACTGATGCTACCAGGTAGACAGATTAGCCATTGCATTAAAAACTGGAGCAGCACTGCTGTGTCTGATTCACTCAGACCATCGCAACACTAACACACCAACACCACATCAGTGTTACTGCAGTGCTGAGAATGATCCACCATCCAAATAATACCTGCTCTGTGGTGGTCCTGTGGTGGTCCTGACCACTGAAGAACAGGATGAAGTAAGCTAACAAAGTTTGCTGAAAAACTTCAGTCTGTAATTGTAGAACTACAAAGTGCTCCTATATGGTAAGTGGAGCTGATAAAATGGACAATGAGTGTAAACACAAGGAGATGGTTTTAATGTTATGGCTGATCAGTGTAAATCATGAACATGTTTGCTTGCAGTGTCAACAAGAGACAGAAAGGCAGGAGTGAAGGGGAGAGCGAGAGAGAGAAAGAGCACTATATGAGTTCATGCAAAGTCTAAAGGTCGTGTATTGTTAACCCTCTTGTGTTCTTAGTGAGCTGTAGGAAAATGACAGAAGCGGAGTTATATGATGAATATAAAGGGGTTTACGTCCCTGAAATCCTCCACCCTCCTGAGAGCCTGAAATACTATGAGGACTTTACTTTCCAGCCGGACGACGTGCTTATTGTGACCCAAAGTCTGGTAAGATATCAGCTCCATCCTGATGTAGTCACGAATAGTCCTGGCTGAACAGCAAAGTTCTGGATCAAATGCTATTAACTTTTTCTACTACATGAATAGTAAGTTACTGAAAAGCACTGTAGTTGATTCAGATACTGACCATGATAAAGAAAGCAAAACATCTAAATTCCTGAACTAAATGTTACTGGGTGAATTAGCAGCTTGTTTTGGTTGCTGTAGGTATGACATGACTGCAGGAGATTGTACAAAATGGTCCTCAGCATGGGAGATCTCTTCTCAGTTCGGGCTGTACCGAACTGGAACAGGGTACCCTGGCTGGAAGAGCATCGAGCAATGGTGATGAATCTGGAGCAAAGACCCTCGCCTCGAGCCTTTGCCACCCACTTTCACCATTATATGATGAACGAGTCGTATTCCAAAGTGAAGCCAAAGGTGATTTTGTTATTGAGACACCCCTCTCTCTGAGCATACAGTCTCTCTCATACTGTGACTCCATTTAGCCATGCAACCTTAGCGGGCTTGTTCATTAAGAAAAAACTGAAAAGGCAAAATTGCAGCTTTAATGTCACCTTCACCTCAAAGCTTTTATTTTGTTTTAATAGTTGAGAATATAGTCTGTAATTTTGCTCAACTGACAGTGAACATTATGGTCAGTAATTGTGCTCAACTGTCTTATTGCAACACACACTAAAAGATATGCTTTTAAGAATGATGCCATTCATTTAAATTATAATTAAGTTACTAAAGCAATGACTAACTGCTTTTTCTCATCAAGCTCATGCTTATGTTGAGATTGGTACAGTAACTAGGTTGCGGGGTAGTGAGCAGACCGTGCTCAGGATTCTGTCTTGGGGGGGAAATTGATGCAAACTGTTTTCACAACATCTTTTTGTGAGATATTTTTTTCACAAGCATTGCTTAGCAGGGGTTATTTACCTTCATATGCCCAATCTGTATGAATATAACTTATTTTTATATCTTATAACCTTTTTATTGATTCAGCCTTTTTCAAATTTATGACTATCTAGTTCTTAGTGTAGTCAAACTTGAGAAGAAAAGAAAAACACACTTCAAGCCCTTTATTACATAAAGCTGTCAAAAAGTATGTCTAAAAGGCTCTGTTTCTTAGTTAATTAATTAAAGTATATATTTAGATATATTTAGTGAAGAAAAAATTTTACTTGTCAGCAGGCATGTTTGGTAGGTCCCATTTGAAGTAAAATCAAATTCCAATTTAGTTTGCCTGACAAATTGGTACAGTTCCAGACATATTTTGATTGCTGTGCAAACACACCTGTATTTTCATATGATGCGATAGGCTACTCCGAACATTACCCATCACGTTCTCAGAAGCCTTAAGTTACGGTCACACTGAATTTGCCATTGCCCTTTAATCGTACAAACACACAAAAAGGAATTCACTAGCATAGTGGTTTTTTTTGCTTCACACTGAGTTCATCTAGGTAAACATTGTCTGTGCAAATTGAACGTGGAATCTTTGTTCTGAAAAAAGAAAAAAATAATGGAGAAACTGCTCATCAGTTTAGGGTGGTATGTATCCTGAAGAAGCCCATGCCAGACAGCTCTGACATCAGGAGCTACCAACCGGTATCTCTCCTTTCTTTCCTCTGAAAAATCTTGAATACTCACAGTCTAAAATTGCTTGCCTCTCTTTCACACTCAGAGCCAGCTCCAGAGTCAAAACCAGTCTGGCTTTAAACCAGCTCATTCTACAAAAACTGCCCTCGTAGAAGTGACAGAGAAGCTCAGCATAGCAAGATCAGCCAAAGTATTAACAGTATCTCTCTACACTCTCAAATGGCTTCTCCTACTATTGCTATGATGAGGACACACAACAAATCCTTTCTTTTTCACCTTCTGAAACCTAAGTTTCCAGTTTCATTTAATTTCATTTGCATTTCAACACATCTGGCTTACATCATTTCATGGGTTTGGCCCATTGCCTGAAGTTGAATCCCAGCAAGACCAAGCTGCTACACATCCCTGGAGCTACACGTCCTCACCATGATCTCATTTGAGAACTCCTTGGCCTGTATGTCTGAAGATGCACAACACCTTAATGCAATTCTGGATGACCAGTTAGAGGATAAACCTGCATGACCAAGTTAGCATTCTCAGTTCATGTTGCTAACTTGGTCATGCAGGTCATTCAGCTGATCCATAATTCAGCAGCATGGCTTGACTTCCCATAGCTGTCTGCATCAGATTTAAAACCTTGAGGCTTGCCTACAAAACCAAAAATGAACCTTCTTACCTGATTGCAGTGGTCAAAACTCAATCCATACCTCAAGCGCTTCAGGTTTCAAATATGGCTCAGCTTGATCTGCCATCCTTCAAGACAGCCTAGAAGACAAGTATCAAGACTGTTCTGGCATCCAACATATTTGTTGGTTTATGCTGAAGTGCAAAATACAAGGGGTCCTAGTGGGGTCTAGGACTTCCTAATTGACTTGGACCCCCTGAATGTTTCTAAATCAAAATTCTGGGAGGTTCAGGTACTTATGCTGGCTGTTAAGGGAAAATAGTTGCTCAAATACAAATTCAAGGAAAGCTCATTGTTTAGCCTGCAGAACATATAACATCAGAATATGTGTGTTTGAAAATATAGAGGTAAGGAAATTACTCTGATTTTCTTGTTAAGGACATATAATTCAGGCAGTGGGGAGCATAAATCCATTCCCCTTGAAAATTTTAATGAAGGAACATAGTATCCTGGGAATACAGGAGTCTTTAAAAACTTACAAAGAGGGAACACATGGCCTGGGGAACACAGAGACCTGAAAACATAACAGGACTGTTACTCAGAAATTTCTGTGAGAAAATTAAGAGCCTGGGGAACATAAGAGTGATGGCCATTGATCAGTAAAAATCGCAGAGATTTTGCGCAATAGACAATGAGCTAACGTCTTTATAAACCTTCAAATCTGAATAAATATGCTTTTTATAGGCTCTGTGTGCAGTAGTTTAAACCTGTAACTGAATTAGGCAGCATCTT